ATATACATACAGTACCCAATATACGCATGTGATCCGATGGGAGATAGACAATCTCCCAAAGCTATATCCAGGCTACAGATCAATAGTGAAGATCCCCCGAGTTAAGATCAAGCTGCAAGGGGTGATATTTTGGAATATTAGTCGGTTAGTTTCCCAAGGGCCAATCTGGTGGGAGCCGCCCTGTAGATCGCCGTAAGCCCGACGCACGATGGATGCATACATCCATGGATCCACAAACAGATGACGGATGTATTATGGGTTCACGGGACATGACAAGTGTCCCCATGCACGTCAATATAAGGCAGGTGCATATCGAATCCTGTCACCGGTACTCTGTACTCCGGATGGAATACTCCATAGCCGATATGAACACTTGGGATTAAAATCCTTGACCAGGGCGAGACCATAGCGGACCGTTGAACATGAATTCAGCTTTCCCCATACTATAACGGCCGGGAGGAGCCGTTAACCAACCAACCCCTACCACTATTCCATGCACGGCCACTATTGGTGCCATGGAAAGAGCTCCCCTTTCCGGAGTAGCATGGCAACTGGGCCGCTGGACCGGGCCTTCCGTGTGAACGGATGAAATAATCTTGGGACGTGCCAACAACTCTCTTTTAAAAAGTTGCTATGGAGTTGAATATGCTGATATGCAAAAAGAGCCTAACATCCTACATCAATTACGGAGTCCTCCGTACAGTTTGGGGCTCTCTTGCAAATTGAGCGGAAGCGCCCGCAACTGGATATCTGCTGATTTGCAAAAAGGGAAGAAAGAAAATAGTTCCGTCGGGGCCCGGTCCTCACAGCAAAAAAAAAAAAAAAAAAAGGAAAAAGAAAAAGAACAGTTTCCCCGATATAACCCCCTGGCCCGCTGCCAGAGAACTGGGACGGGAACCGGAGGCATCCCGGACCCTATCGGATCGATGCCCAACCACCTGGGCCAGTTACCTACTATGGAAATTGAGCGGGGGGGGTTGTTCTGTTATGGAAAGGGAGATAAAAGAAAGGGGGGCGAAATCTAAACTCAGTGAAAGAAACGGCGAAAAAAGAGCTCATATGGAGCATAGGGAGAGTACATACCCACCTTCCGAACTTCCTCCCGTTGTCCATCTTAGTAGCTAGCATGTCCTAGGTCGATCTCTGTATGAATGAGGACATTTTTTGACGCCTCGTTCCGCGGGTGGATATCGTATGTTGTATTGAGATGAAGCCTTTTGACAACTACCGGGGATTATAGGCTGAATGGATTTATTGCCTAGCTAGGTATTAGGTATGTCGGATGCGTGCGCGGAAGCGAGTGACGGAAAGACTCCCGGGAAAATACAAGTGACAGGGGTATAACGTGGAAGATGATAACGAGAGCGAATCTAAGGTGGCCAAGACCCGATCCTAAACTAGTTCGAGGTTGGCGTTAAACCTTTAAAGAGGAGATGGTCCGAAATCCCAAAAAAATTCAGGGTGTGATTAGGACCCATCTCTTCGTTTGACTTACGCTATTTGGGTAGCGTCTCCCAGGGCCATGGAGGGAGACTCTTTACTCCGTACCTAGGTACCTGCCTATTACTGATCTAGGGCTATACCTAAGTAGGTGTTATAATTGTCAAGGGCGTTGGTAGGCTGGGAGATGGCATTGGGTACCACTACATTGATTTAATTCTATTACTATTACTTCTTTTACTTCTATTACTTCTGATTGCGGGACTTTAGATAGTATCTTGTAAAGTAACTATATATAGCCATGAATATGTATCATTTACTCTATACGGAGTACTTCAAAGGCTAGGGCGTCAAACCATAGATCGTGTCTTCCACGTGTCGACTGGGGGTACTCCATATATGCCCTTAAATTTGAGACTTAAATTGAGATATTACGGAGTAAAATGAAGTAAGTTCTCGGTTAACTGAACTTTGAATCCGAAATCAAATAAAGCCAAAAAAAAATTAAGAAAAATCAAATCAAATAAGAAAGCTCAGCTTCCTGGCCCGGCAAGGAAATGAGCTTCAGCCAAGTGTATCCGGGATTATCCACTGTGCCCTGTGCGTTTCTCCTTTTTACTGTGGACCTCCGGGACCTGGCCTTTTCTTGGACTTTTCTCTCTCTCGCTTTTTTTTTTTTTCTCTCTTTTTTTCTGGTTTTTCTTTTTGTATATATTATTACTTGGGGGTTTTCATCTTTCTCCGAGATCGTCTGATCTATAGTCTCGATGGAATGCAATTTTAATTCTGGAGAAGTTCGGATGTATATGGCATCTTCGAGTACTGTATATTGCGACGATGCAAAGGATAAACATAATGAAAGACGGATATAAAAGAAAATTAATGTCAGCACAGCCCTAGAGAGACTACAATGTGGATATTGGGAAATGTAAAAAAGAAAAAATGTATGACTTCATGGAGCTGTCACTTGGCTTTTCTCCTTTATAAGATTCCTACCAGTCAGAATAATGGATTTGCCTGTCACTTGGCCATTTTCAGAGGTTTAGCCTTTATTTTCCTTATTATTTATTTTTTTCACATCCGAAACGGTCTCGGAGTCAGTGTAGAAAAAGTAGACCAAGTAGAGAGAGAGAGAGGGTAGAGGAAGAAGATAATAGGGATGGGTATGTCGGGGAAAGTACGAAACTCATTTGTTCTGTGAATAATTTTTTTATATATATGTTTTTATTGTATACGTTCTATTCTACTCTATATATTCTATATTCTTTATATTTGATTCTATCTGTTAATATATCTCTGATATATCTTATATTATTTCCCTTGAACCCCTCTCTCCACTTCGTTCCAGCCCCCCCGGACCAGACTCTTCGCACACTGGTCCTCCCCCTCTCTTCTTCCTATCTCTTTTTTTCCCCTTCCCTAATTCCTCTTTTCGACCATTCTCCCACCCCCCCTTCTCCCTTGCTATATCTCTCCCTTTGCGTCATTCTTCCAGCAACAATTGGGGGTTGCTGTGAATCGCGTGGAAGCTCCCGCTTTTCTTTTTCGCCCCCCCCGCCTGGAACGTGGGCCACTTCCAACACCTTTCCTCCCCCTCCTTGCGATTTCGAACCCCCCCTCTTTCCCCTGAGATAATTATAGGTATGTCGTCTGCAAGCTGGATCGCTATGAATATGCTAACTTCTCTAGGTTGATTGTTTTATTTTATTTTTTTCTTTATTTGTTCTCAATTCCAGTTGCCCGCCATGGCTGGAAAAATGACGTTGTACAAGCTGGTGGTGTTGGGAGACGGAGGTGTTGGAAAGACCGCCCTTACCATTCAGGTTGGTCGAGCCCTGGACATCCGAGGCATGGAATCTCACTAAACCTGGTACTTCTAGTTGTGCCTTAATCACTTTGTCGAAACATACGATCCAACCATCGAGGATTCATATCGCAAACAAGTCGTGATCGATCAACAGTCGTGTATGCTCGAGGTGCTGGACACAGCGGGCCAGGAAGAATATACCGCGCTACGAGACCAGTGGATCCGGGATGGCGAGGGTTTCGTATTGGTGTACAGCATCACCTCGCGCGCCTCCTTCTCTCGCATCACAAAATTCTACAACCAAATTAAGATGGTCAAGGAATCGTCCAGCTCCGGTTCCCCCTCCGGCCCCAGCTATTTAAACTCGCCCATGAACGCCTCATCGGGTCCTGCAATGCCCGTCCCCGTTATGCTAGTCGGCAATAAGAGCGACAAGGCCGTCGAGCGCGCAGTGTCAGCACAGGAAGGTCAAGCATTGGCCAAGGAGCTGGGATGTGAGTTTGTCGAGGCATCCGCGAAGAATTGTATCAATGTGGAAAAGGCCTTTTACGACGTTGTACGCATGCTGCGCCAGCAGCGACAACAGGCGGCAGGTGGTCGTGGCGCAGACCGTCGCCCGACAGGCTTTGGATCAGGCCACCGCGATCGCGACGCAGGCCCGGAATATCCCAAGTCCTTCCGGCCCGATCGGTCGCGGCATCGCAGTCGAATCCAGTGTACTCTCTTGTGATCGACAGGCTCCATCCGCGAGGCGTTGGATTTCTTGCTCACTGAAATAATGGCTGTTCCCCCCCCTTTTTTTTCTCTCTCTCTTCCTCTCTTCCTTTTTGGTCCTGGGTGCATCTGGAGGGCTCTATCTTTTGGTTACCTCGTTCGGCGTCGGTGGTCCTTGCCATGCTACCCCCTTTCACGCTCGCATCCTGAAGAGCTTCAGAACTGGCGTGGGGACTGTGGCCAGTGTTCTGCAAGCCTTGAACGCAAGTTCTTTTTTGTTTTGTTTTTGTTTTTGTTTTGTTCTTTGGAGATGCGCCGAGGCATGCAGACTGGCTGTCTAGATTTCCACAAGCTCCCCCTACTCTTTTTCCTTGACGATCGTCTCTCTTCTTCGGTCTCTGCTTATTTGATAAGATGCGATCGGAGAAATCTTTCGGACACGCCTCGGAGCACCCCGAAAGAAGAAAAAAAAATCCCAGGCGACGAAGCCAGAAGATCGCAGTCGCGCATTAGCAGGCATTTCGATATGATACCCTACGACTGAGCTTGTTTTATTTGATTCATTTTTCAGCCATTTTTGCGATATAGACAATTGATAAAGGTGTTCTTGATAATAACTTGAATCTGAACCAAACATATGAAAGTACCAGGGTACCAGTGCAGTACCTTCTTCTCGGTTGTACTTGATACTGTGGATGAGGTATACTCTGAGTACCCAAGTACCCAAGTACCCAAGTACCCAAGTGCACGCTGGGTACACCCCGGGTACCCGAGAGAAAAGTGCGGGGAAAAAGCACGGACTCTCCTCGGCTGCATCCGGGGGGATCTCACCTGGGCACTTCCACATCTTCACCTCTCCTTTCTCCGCAAAGGCAAACTTCTAAAATGTCTTTTGTCGATCCTCTCTTAACTTCCATAACCCCGTGCCAATCGCACCGTTAGATCCGAAAGACCTCGGGTAGAAGCACTCTATATCAAGGTTTCCCATACTTTGGAAGCAAATTCACTCTTTGTCTCGTGTAATTTGTTTCTCTCTTAGCTTCTTCTATCGAATCACAAGGCAAATAAGTTTGCCACTTCCCCTATATCCATCAGAATCCAATTTCAATTTCTATCCAACATGTCTCCGCACCCCCAAGCAACAACCCACTCACATTCCCTTGGCGACCCAGAAACCTTTTGGTCGCATCACGCGGCCAGGCTCCACTGGCACCGCAAGCCTTCACGTGCCCTCACACGGCAGACAAAATCCCTACCGAGCGGAACCAAGCACGAGCACTGGTCGTGGTTCGCCGACGGCGAGATCTCCACAACCTACAATTGTGTCGATCGACATGTGCTCTCAGGCCATGGCGACAATGTTGCAATTGTATGGGAATCACCAGTTACAGGTATAACGGAGAAGTATACTTATGCCCGCCTACTCGACGAGGTGGAGGTTCTTGCCGGTGTGCTTAGGGAGGAAGGGGTGCAAAAGGGTGATGTTGTTATCATTTACAGTAGGCAAACCAACAACTTCGATGAGGCCATAAGTGGGGAATCAATGAAAAGCAGGAATCCAGAACTGACTACGTATCACATCCAGTGCCAATGATCCCCGCAGCGTTAATAGCCGCGTTGGCAATAGCCCGTTTAGGGGCAATCCACGCCGCCGTCTTCGGCGGCTTCGCCCCGCAAGCTCTAGCGCAGCGCATTGAGGCCGCGCGCCCAAGAGCTATAATGACAGCGTCATGCGGAATAGAAGGGTCCAAGGGACCCATTTCCTACCGACCGCTCGTTGAGGGCGCTGTCAAGGCAAGCAGCTTCAAGCCGAGCAGGGTCATTGTCTGGCAGCGTGACGAACTGCGTTGGAATCAGCCCGATAAGCGCGGCGGACAGCGTAATTGGCAGAGACTCGTTAAGAGTGCACGGTTCCGTGGGGTCAAGGCAGGACCTGTTCCCGTGAAGAGTACCGACGCGCTTTATATTATTTATACAAGTGGTGAGTGAACATCAGAAACAGATCTAATGCCTGATAAATTTGTTCGGTTGGTACTAACATATTTCAACAGGAACAACTGGCCTCCCCAAAGGCGTCCTCCGCGAAGCAGGCGGGCACGCTGTGGGTCTGGAACTCTCCATAAAATCCCTCTTTGGGATCAAAGGTCCAGGCGACACAATGTTCTGCGCATCAGACATAGGCTGGGTTGTTGGACATTCGTACATTCTCTATGGGCCGCTGCTAGTGGGCGCCACAACCGTCCTGTTCGAAGGCAAGCCCGTCGGCACACCGGACGCCGGAACGTTCTGGCGCATCGTCGAGAAACACAATGTAAATGCGCTCTTCACGGCCCCAACAGCCATGCGAGCTATCCGGAAAGATGACCCGGAGGACCAGCTTATCGGCGAGGTCGGAAAGCGTGGAGGGTTGAAATCTCTCCGTGCGCTTTTCCTCGCCGGTGAGCGTAGCGAGCCCAGTATTGTTAGCTCATACCAAGATCTGCTTGGTAAGTATGCAGCGGATGGTGCACTTGTCGTTGATAACTGGTGGTCATCTGAATCTGGATCTCCGATTACGGGTGTTGCGTTGGATGGGAGCGCTGCCCTTGCTGGCCTGGCATCCGGACCAGATCATTCTCCCCTTGCGACCCGTCCCGGTTCGGCAGGATTCCCAATGCCAGGGTTTGACGTCCGCATCGTCGACGACGAAGGCAGTGAAGTCCCGCGCGGCACAATGGGTAATATTGTTATGGCACCACCGCTCGCCCCGTCGGCATTCACGACCCTCTTCGAAGACGAGGAGCGGTTTTACCGTGGGTATCTTAAGCGGTTCAATGGCCGCTGGGTTGATACCGGTGATGCGGGCATGGTTGATAAGGATGGCTACGTGCACATTATGTCGCGAAGTGACGATATCATCAATGTTGCCGCACATCGGTTCAGTACTGGTAAGGATATTCTTCGCCCCTCGGCACTATGATCTGAGGATCCATGGTCTGACTTATTCCGACAGGATCCATCGAACAAGCAATCCTCTCGCACCCATCGATCAGCGAAGCAAGCGTCGTCGGCATTCCCGATCCCCTGAAAGGCCACCTTCCCTTTGCATTCATCCAGCTCAAAGCTGGTGCGATCCCCGTAGAATCCGGGATTCTTCCGGCAACTCCTAGCCCGCACTTATTTGCTGAGATTAACGGGCTGGTTCGCGAGCAGATAGGGGCTATTGCGTCGCTAGGTGGCATTATACAGGGTCGGGGGATGATCCCTAAGACGCGGAGTGGGAAGACGCTTAGGCGTGTTCTTAGAGAGCTTGTCGAGATTGGGGTAAAGGGGGATTATGCAGCGGAGGTTAGTGTACCGCCTACTGTTGAGGATGCGGAGGTTGTTTCTGTTGCGAGGGAGAGGGTTAGGGAGTATTTTGAGGAGAAGACCAAGGCAAGGAAGGCGAAACTTTAGATGGGCGATAGATGCTTGGATGTTATCATGGCCATATACTACACCTTGGAGTGGTATTTATGGATTGGCGCTTAAATGAAAAAAGAAAGTGGTAGATTAATGCCTCAGAAGATGGGCATCAAGGGGGTTTTTCGGGAAGAAGCTATCAGGCTTCAACATCTTATCTTGTCATCATAGCCGAACCGAAAAGATAACGTCTGATGAATGAAGCTTTAACAAAAAGCAAGTGATTTGTAGCAGGAAGACTCTGTCAAAACTCCTGGGGAAGCAGTTTACGACCTAGAAGGGCTACCTGCTGCAAGTCCGATGTTCTCCAGAAATGGGTCAGTCAGAATCTACAGACATTAGAAGAAGTCTTTCCCTGGTCTTTTCAATTTCGAGACTTCTGAATAAAGTGGAAACGTTGGAGGAAAAGTGGGCTGATGAGAGGACTGTGCCGACCTGCATGGAACTTGCAACCAGACGTGGGATTGACCCTTCTAAAAGGCTCAAAACTGCTTGCAACAAACATCGTCATTTATCTTTCTGGAAAAGGCTGCAGAACGAAATACGATAATACGACACGCCCGCAGAAAAAGGTCGTATAGGCCGGAGTGTCCGAGCTGACTGAACTGATAAAGCAGCTCACCATTCTCTAGGGCTTGCAGGTGGAAGGTTAATTCATCTGACTCCTAGACTTTCCCACGAAAACTCCGCTTATAATTTCCCTCAATCTGTCGGCAGTGCCGATACGATCCTGAATTCTCTGCTGTTTTTTGGCAACTTGTGGCACACTGCAGCTGGGCACGATACTTCAGCTCGATTCTCGATATGTCAAGGGCTCTCTGTCTATATAAATACCTTGACAATGACCCTGGATTTGGGATTTGTATTACATGCCAGCAATCAGAACAAAAACAAGTTCAACCAAACAACAGAGCAATTATTCCCAAAGATGCATACAATTCTTCTCACCATCATCACTCTTGCTTCCTTTGGCCTGGCCGAGTATCGCCCAGAAGAGCGTGTCGTTCTGGCAGACTGTGGGATCCACCCACCAAACGGCGATTCCACCTCGCGCCAAATCATGTATTACCACGATGCTCCATGGGCATCCCAAGGAACACGAGGGAAATGGGTGACACCGGACATGATGACCGATGTCCCCTGGGATGGGTCGTATCCCTGGCGAACAAAGGGATTGAAGCGCAAGATGCCAAACGGCGACGAGTTCTCCATTGTGATCGATCCCTCAATCCCCGATTCGAACGATAAATTCGCTGGGCTCGCAGGTCATACCTTTGAACCTCATGGGTTTGGATGTCGTGGTCACCACGAGCGTGGGATCTACATTCTCGACGATGGCACCGAATGTGCATCTGCGTATATCTGCGATCACAAGACCGAGACTCGACCGGGTCCTGCTCCGGCTCCGGCTCCTCCAGCTGGAAAGACGACTTCATCACTGACTCTCTCGTCCGATGCAATCTATGTTGACAATTCCAATTTGTACAAGGATAAGCTGAGACTTATGAACCCAAGCGATGCCTTTCATAGTGTCTATGATGCTATTGAGGGGAATGGATGCAGGAAAACGGATTTTGCTATTTCTGACTCCTGCACAATATCTTACGATTGTATGTTTGCAGGGGAGAAGAACGACGCCAAGTCTCGCAGCGACGCTGTCGCCAAGTTCTTGCATGGTACTGCTGGTCCTCAGGTTGCGAAGTCTTGGTATGAGAAGACTACCTACTCGCAGCAGTGGGGAGTTCCGACGTATTGGATTGGGTATAAGTACCCGAGGAGTGGACAGATTGTTATTACGCATGATAATTCCATCCAGTCGCAGCTCTCTTTTGAGGTGAAGTGCAAAGGAAGTTGGTTTTGTGATGTTGGCTGTACTGAGGTTACTACCGGGATGCTCGCTTTGGGTTATGCCCAGGGAATGGCGCCCGTTGGTGTCTTTGGCACTTTGACTGCTGGTGCTTGTGGGCTGTTTTGTTGATCTCGCTTGGATCAGCCTTTTGTTGCTATTAACTACGTTATGGAATAGAATGTCTTATCTAGCCTGGAATATGCATGTAGGCTAGGCCGCTATACATCACTTTCTATATATAGGACGATGGATCTGTTGATCCAGTACCTATTGGTTGCTCCCATCGGGGTCGTGGGGTAACCTGGAGAAGCCCATTCCCCCACATTCTCCGACTTCCTTCTTAAAGGCCCGTTCATAGCGGGGAAAATATATCAAATTCTCATTTCTGTTCTGAAATTCTAAATCTCACCATGCTTGATACACCCGCCAAACTAGACCATGTGGATGTTCTCATTGTTGGTGCTGGGCCAGCGGGGCTTATGCTAGCCAACTGGTTAAGCCGCTGCGGAGTCAAGGCCCGCATAGTGGACAAGCGTGGCTCCAAGGTACACTCTGGTACAAATATGAGGACTATAATGTCGCATACTGACATTAGTGCAGGTCTTTAACGGCCAAGCGGACGGTCTGCAATGTCGCACTCTGGAAATCTTTGACTCTTTTGATTTTGCCCACCGGGCATGGCGCGAGGCAAACCATATGTTGGAGATATGTCTTTGGAATCCAGACGAAAATGGCCGTCTTCAACGAAGTGATCGTATTCCCGACACCATTCCCGGAATTAGTCGTTTCCAACAGGTCGTGCTACACCAGGGTCGCATCGAGCGGTTCTTCCTCGATTCAATCAAGGAGCATAGTGACATCCGTGTTGAGCGTGGTGTGTTGCCCACATCGTTCGATTTTGACGAAACAAAAGCAAACAATTTCGAGGACTATCCTATCAGTGTTAAACTGCGTACCTTGGGCGAGGAAGAATCCACGCCTCAGCAACGGCAACAGCATCAGAAATCGTCTGATGGTCAGCAAACAGTGGTCGAGGATGGCCTTTTCCGAAGTAACTTGGTTGCTGATGACACCGAGGACCTCATCCAGGCAACAGAAGCTAAAGAAAATGCCAACCAAGTGGAGCACATCAAGGCTAAATTCCTAGTCGGCTGTGACGGTGCTCATTCGTGGGTGCGTCGTCAAGTTGGCTTTAGCTTGGAAGGTAGCTCAACCGATTATATCTGGGGGGTTCTTGATATTGTCCCCATCACGGATTTCCCAGATATCCGCCATCGATGCGCCATTCACTCTGCAGATGCGGGTAGTTTGATGGTCATTCCCCGTGAGAATAAACTTGTTCGACTCTACATCCAGCTTCAGGCGACAGATTGCCAGAAGAATGGCTCCAAAGCTGACCGGTCCTGGATCACTCCCGAGATCATCCTGAAGTCTGCTCAGCGTATCGTGCACCCATATAAGCTCGACTACGCGTATTGCGACTGGTGGACTGCGTACCAGATTGGACAGCGCGTGAGTGACAAATTTTCACAGAGCGATCGTGTCTTCCTGGCAGGTGATGCCGTTCATACGCACTCTCCCAAGGCTGGACAGGGTATGAATGTCAGTATGCAGGATAGTAAGTTTTTGAATACCGGCATGCTTAATTTCAACACTCACATTTCGAATAGCCTATAACCTGGGATGGAAGCTCGCTCATGTGATAAATGGCCTTAGCGAACCGTCGATTCTCCAAACATATGAGTCTGAGAGGAAACAAATCGCACAGGACTTGATTGCTTTCGATCACCGCTTTTCGCGACTTTTCTCTGGTCGCCCAGCCAAGGATATCATGGATGAAGAGGGTGTCAGTATGGAAGAATTCAAAAAAGCCTTTGAAAAAGGAAACGAGTTTGCAAGCGGCATAGGTGAGTGTATTACATTACTCGGGAGATCTCCAGTACTAACTCCATCTATGTAGCTGTCAACTATGCTGCCAGTATTCTTGTGGCAAAGGAAACGGATGTCACGAAACAAGGCAATGATGCGATCATCAGCAAGCCAGAGCTGGCCACAGAGATTTATATTGGCAAACGTATGCCTAGTTTCAAAGTTTTGAATCATGCCGATGCACGCCCATGGCATCTGCAGGAGTTATTGAAGAGCAATGGGCGCTGGCGAGTGATAGTTTTCCCTGGACGACTTACCGAGCCCCAAAATATGGAACGTTTCAAAAGATTAGGCGCCTCTTTGGGAGGGCCAGATTCCTTCATTCGCCAGTTCACACCACCAGGCAAGTCTATCGATAGCGTGATCGAGGTGTTGACGGTTCATTCCGGATCACGAAGAGATATCGAACTTCTCGATCTTCCGGAGGCGTTCCATCCCCACCACGGTGACATGGGGTGGGATTACTGGAAAGTCTTCGTCGATGAGGAATCTTACCATGAGGGACATGGTCAAGCTTATTCCAATTATGGCATTGATCCGAACCGCGGTGTTAGTGTCATTATTCGGCCTGATCAGTATGTTAGCTGGGTTGGAGAGGTCGATGAGTACGAGCAGATGTCGCGATTCTTCACTAGCTTCATGAAACGACAGGTGGCTGGGAATCATGCTCTATAGGGAGGACCCCCTCAGCTTGATAGGTCGGGTACGCAGCGGCATAAGTCCCTTTTCGGGCATTATTCATGTCCAAGTGAAGACTGAGTCGCTATTATAGAGACCTTGATAAGTAGGGTATCTTGGTTCTGTTGCCTATTCATCACCCCAACATTTCCGATGACCGTCAGAAATGTGACGGAACCCCCATACCACCCATACTACATATGTGCCTAGGTATACTTATATATTTTCCAGAAATAAACTTGTTTTTTATTTGGAAAAAAAGGTGGGCCATTTAATAGCTGGCCCAATGAGTGCCAAGTGCTAGGTGTTGGGACCACTTTAGCGCATAAGCACATTGCCCGTTGCCCAGGCGATCATGTCGACGATATGTTTAGTAGAGACAGGTCCAAATCCCACATTAACATATGTACGAGCAGTATTTCTAGCTGCTCTGTCTCGATCAATTTTCGCCAGCAGTTCACGTATTCGCCATTCTGCCATACCTATAAGGTGCATTGCCCCTGATTCCTTCAAGGCTGCATCAGGCGCTGATCGCTGATCTTATTACCAAACTAGCAATCTTCGCTGGACAAGCAAATAAGATCTGGCAAATAAGACCCAGCACATCATCAGAAATATAGACGCTCAGAGGCAAGGTACTTCAAGTGTTTTACTTGTTTTGCCCAAGAGAGGTGATATTTCATCCTTTTGGACAACAGGTTGTTCTATCATCTTTGTTCTATCACGCACGGAATACGAAGAACCATGCTTTTTCGAGATATCTTCTTTGCAGCTCTGTCCGGGGTTCCCCTCATTGGCCCATCTGCCACCTCAAAGCGCGGCAGCTCCTTGGAACTTGTCGACGGTCCCTCCTTCACATTTCACTATAAGACCGATCGACCATCGGAGAAGAACCAGATCGGTATCTACAGTATATATGGCCATGGTCCTGGTAGAGAGGACCCCATATATTGGGACTGGGTGCGTGAGTCGGAAGAAATCAAGCGAATTGATGACACCCACCTCAACTGGGGCGCCTATAAAGCCTACTTCCTGGCCGATAGTGGATACAGGGTGCTTGCTGGTCCCATTGATATTTTCCTTTCTGGTGATGGACCTATATCGTTTAATGTTGAGGAATTCACAACTAAAAATGCCCGTGAGGGAGAGAAATTCGAAGCTCGCGTGAGCGGCCTTTTACACCACGCCCCGGACCCAAACACCAAGTACACCAAGAAAAGCTCTGACGCCGACTGGGTTAGTGTATCCAAGGATGGTATCATCTCCGGAGTCCCTAGCGGGAGTGGTCTCTCTAAAATCACCGTGAGGGCTACTGCTTCCGACAGATCTACTGCCACCGTCGATGTCATTGTTCCAGTAGTTGCCTCTGGGAAACCTCTTGTCACTGAACTCACGGTTCTGTCCCTGAACCTTTGGTATGGAGGCACCAAGGTTAATGACTACAACCGCAAGCAGATCTCGGCCATTGTCAACTCTGGTGCTGACATTGTCGGTCTCCAAGAAAGCACTCATGGCCACGCAACTCAGATTGCAGACGCCCTTGGGTGGCAATCATGGCAGGGTGGGGACTCCAGCATCATCAGCCGTTATCCCATAGCAGAAAAGTACGGCGCAGTCACCGAAACCAGTGTTGCTGTGCGAGTCGCTCTCGACGGCGACAATAGTCAGGTCATCCTCCACAACTGCCACCCTTATGCCTATCCTTATGGGCCTTATGATCCTTGCTTCTACGGAAAAGATGCCGACGCCATGATGGATACTGAGAGAAGGGCCAGTCATTTCCGACAGATTGAAGAAATTGTCGGCGCTATGGCAGACGCCCTCGACAACGCCGACAAAGTTCCCGTTCTTCTTACCGGCGACTTCAACGCGCCCTCTCACCTCGACTGGACCGATGAGACAAATTCATCTCACTGCGGCATTGGGCAGTTTGACTGGCCCACCTCCAAGGTGCCTATTGACGCTGGCTTGACCGACGCCTACCGCGAGCTCCATCCAGATCCTGTCGTTGACCCTGCCAACACTTGGTCTCCCATCTACCTTAATAATGACGATTATGATGGGCGTCAAGAGCCTATGGACCGCATCGACTTTGTCTACTATAAGGGGAACCTGACTCCCAAGAAGTCCGAGACTTACATGGTTGGCGACCCTAAGCCCGAGCCTAACCACTCCGATAACGAGTGGCCTACCGATCACAAGGGCGTCCTTGTCACATTTAAAATTCCAACCTAACATTCAACCTAACATTCAATAAATGGGTTTCTTCATTGGATTAAACGAGGGCCAGGGAGGGTATTCTGTGTTACGTCCGTAAAAGAACCGGACTATTCCGGTTACCCCGATAATGTTCTGGACGCAAAGGGCGGGGGGAATGAAGCATCCGACACTCTCGGACACTCGAAAGTGTCAGGGTCATGCCAAAAATTGCAGGGAGACTCCAAGGTTCTCAATTATACCAGCACTTCCGGTCTCTGTCGAGTCTTCCTGATCAACGTCAGACGGCGACCGGTTTGAAGAGTAGACCTCGAGGTCTGGAGGCGTATAACCAAACTCTCCCGGGAACCCGAGCCCGTCCCGACACCGTCTTTCAGTCTTGTCCACACGCCTTCCTTGAGAATGGTGTAGTTCACGGCCGCTGACGCTAGACTTTGAGTTGATGATGGATCGCGATAATAGTGATATGATCTCTAAGTCATGGCTGAGGATATACCTACGGCAGGCTTTAGATGCCATCGCGCCTACCGGGCTTTTGCCAGGCAGGAAATGAAAAGGTCATACAGAAAAAAGTTCTTGGTGCAGGATATGCTTTTTTAGCGCCTTCGTATACACCTAAAAAGCGTATCTCAAAAGAACCCATAGACCTATGATCACTAAACAAAACTGGATCACGATCAATAAGGGCTTGATACCTTACGCATTTATCCTGTCAATGGCGCCCGAGAGCCATCTGTAATCGTAGAGGAAGTTCTTGTACAAGTGATTACTCAACTGAGGTCATGATCATAAATGATCAGTAATTCAAATTCGCCCGTAGTCGCTTACTGGAGGCGTCTCTTTAAGCATAAATATTAGAATTGAAAAGACTAGACACCTCACCATCTACCGATTCACTTCCGCTCTTTTCCACAAATTTACAATGGAGAACGCCCTTCAAGTGGACGTATATATCTCTCCCCCCATCCCAGCAACAACAGGCTCCGGTGACCCAACTAAGCAATGGTGGTCTCCGATTTCCTGTACGCTGATACAAGGGCCAACGTCAGCAGTTCTAGTCGATACTCCTATTTCTATTAGGCAGACCGAAGAACTAGCAGCCTGGATCAAGAAGACTGCCCCGGGCAAGAAACTGAAATACATATACACAACCCACGCGCACGGCGATCATTTCTTTGGCAACCCAGTCATCCTACAGCACTTTCCAGGCACCACTAGCGTCGCGACATCCCTAGTGGCCGCGGGAATCAAAACGACCTTGGTCAGTGCAATCCCAAGATGGGAAGAGTGGTTCCCCGATGGTCAGATTCTCACGAAAGAACAAATTGTTCCTGAATCCCTCCCCGAAAACGGAGAGTTCTCGATCGACGGACACAGCCTTTTTGGTGTTAATGTCGCGCATTCCGACACAAGTGCCTCGTCCTTCTTACATGTGCCGGACCTGAAACTTGTGGTTGCTGGCGACATTGTCTATGGAGACTGCTTCCAGTTCTTGGCCGAAGCGAAGACTGCGGAGAAGCGGGAAAATTGGCTGGATGCGCTCGATCAGATTGCGGCGTTGGAGCCGAGTATTGTGGTTCCAGGACATAAACGGGCGTCGCAGGCAGATGGGCCCTACCTGATTGATGCGACTAGGGCGTACATTTTGGCATTTGCGGAGGAGGTGAATCGACTAGGTGATGCGGATAAAGTTGAAGAAGCCATGGTCAAGCGGTATCCACACAGATGGAACAGGTTTCTTTTGGATGTGAGCTGTAAGAGCTCTGTTGCTGCTCTATAGTTACCGGATACCTAGGTAGAACCCGGCTGTTCGGATAAGCATAGGAATGGGAATTATGATCACTAAACAATTCGGTGGCAATTCCCCACTGCGCATCTCGGTCCCGAGGCTTCTTCTCCGTCTTCACCTCCATTCTCTTCCAATTTCCACAAATATAACCTAGTATTACTATCCGATCTTCTATGCCCCACCGAACATACCGGCGCGTCAATGTCGCTCCAAGTACCTGCCGCAGCTAATCTGGGCGGGCGTAGCGCCCCCATGGCGAAGATAAGTGCCCCCGGAGGAAGCGCGGTAGGCCGCGAAATGACACCGATAATCCGACGGAACCGCCGGAAGAGGTAGATATGGTTCCCAGTAGTCCATCTTGGGATACCAGCTTATCTTGGTTTGAATGTAGCGGCGCCGGAAGCAGATTCGTCTAGCACAGCGGGCGCATCGTCAACGTGAAAAGGAGGCCCTGTCCCGACATGAAGTCCGAATTGCACAGCTGGAAACGTCAATCCAGAAGATGAACATGGCGTTCTCCTCTTTTAGTGAGCAACTGGAGAAAAGTGGAGCGTTGGCGCCGCACGCTACCCTCCAAGCCCATCTCCGTGATACCTTAACTACGTACAAGTCTCTTGCTGAAGAGGTTGGTATAACAACCGATTACGAATGTCTCCATCGCTCCTCACAGAGCATGGTGGCTGTTCCTGTGCAAGAAGAGAATGTAAGGAGCACTCCAGACTCCTGGTTATTATCGGAACTTGATAGGCTTCTTACACCTCCCATGGCTCCTATCTCCATTCAAAATCCCCCTGCACCCCTGGGCCCCAGTTCGCCACTATTATTCAACACTACAATGACGACCATGTCCCTACCCACCGTGGAAATGTCAGTTTTCATTCGCCAGCTTCGTGTTGCCTGCGCTCATTACGCGCTTTTCTCATTACGTGATTCCTCCGTGGATTTGGAGGGTCTGCGAAGCAAATTCCGGTTCCTTCTGAGCATAATAAGCCGTGAGAATCTAATCTCGTACTTTGAGGCCGGAGTGGTCGCTAGGGTTCATCCGGAACGCATGCTTGAGTGGGAGGAGCTTCCCTTTTTCCGTGTAGGGGGTGCAGGAACCCATTTCGTCAACTCGCCATCCTTGCGTTATGAAAATCGCCACCCAGTTAGGGATGATCCTTTGTCAAGCTTTCCTCCCGAGGTCCAGGGTGAAATGGATGGGAGGTGGTATGATATTCGTGATCTTGAAGGGTTTCTCCAAGAGCAAGGAGTCCGTTTGTTCACAAGCCTGCCCACTGAGTCCGGGCGCATCCCGTCTAATGTGGCTGCAGTCAACGTCTCTACACTGATCAAGGGTAAGATACCTTAATCCGAGTGACCATTAACATATCTAATACCTGGCAGGCCTAGTAAGAACGTCTATATGTCTCGGCCGGTCGCCCGGGTGGCGACCGGTTGATGTAGAAAATGCCATCAGAATGTCTCTGTGGGAGAAAGAAGAAAACGTACGCCATGGATTGTTTGATACCGAATTCTATGAGCAGCCTTTGGCTCTCAACACGGTTTGCCTATATGAATAATACACAGAAAAGACTTGAGTGGTTCAACAGAACAGAAAGGATTGACAGGCTGCTCGCGTCCTACTACATACAACCTACTATCCCAGCCCCTCCTTCTCAAAGCTTGTGCTTCTTCATACCCGAGGCAATCTTCTCAAATTCGGCCTGCGGAACCCCGTCCGCAAATTTCCTCAATCCCCCCAAAAACTCCTTCACGGCTTGGTCATTGAACTCGTGATCGCCAGGTTCCCGCAGTAGCTTCTTGATCTCCAAGATACTCGCTTTAACTAGATGATCACCAACACGAGATTCCAGCTCCCACAACACCCATTCCCGGAATTTCGCACCGTCCCCTTTTGGGGTATCCGCAATCTGGTTCACAAACCTAGTCTGCAGAAGCTCCTGGGCAGTAATTATGCGGCAAAAAGCAGTGCCTCTTTTGCCTTGATGATGCCCACGCGGCGCACAAATGCAACACTTGTACCACCTTCCGTCACGAGGCCCAGTGAAGCAAACAGCGTCAGGAGGTATGTCTCGGGTGTGGCGAAAATCAGGTCCGAATGGGTAACGGTTGCTGCGGAGAGCCTGATGGCGGGCCCGTTCAGGGCTGTTACCAAGATCTTTGGATGCGAGTAGAATGTGTCGTCCAGTTCAATGTTGTTTATTGTGAGAGCCGGGAGCCGCTCACGCCTTATGCTTCTTAATAGGACATAACCCATAGCATTTTGGTACCCAATCTAAGTAGAATTGCCTTAGTGGACGACATGGTGAAGAATGAAAGAACCGAGAATACTGCAAATGGTGTGTTGGTATGGATATGATTACTGAACATTATTCGGTACCTAGGGCGTTGCTACTTTTGCCGTTTTTTAACTTTGGTGTGGCTCCTGAGAGGCGATGTCAATGCGTCCTATTAATCACACCCCTGCTTCCTCTCTAAATTGCTGGCCATTGAGAAATGCACAGCGACTGAACAACTTTTCCCAATGAAGCGCTTTCTCAGCATATGTCATGACTTCCATGTCAGCTTCATTGGTACTGTCGCTACATGTAGCGGATTCTGAACCATAAGGGCCACCAAACAGCCGCACTGAGATATGGCTAGGGACATCGCCTATTGAAGATTTTGAAAGGTCATTCGAGAAGGCAGGCGGCCATGACTGAAGTCGATCGTCCGCCCCTTTAGGAGCGCCATGCACGAATTGAATAATTTTCCGGCTGAAATCTCGAGCCAGCGCAAGCTGAGAGTCAGAATTATCGGCACCGGCTCTTAGGTGGTCATTGTAGAATAGGTAAGGGATATCGCTGAGATGAGCAACACCCCACATCGACACACCCATAGACTCAAAGATTGGCATGTATCTGGTTTCGTTGAATTCATACAGCCGCACCTGGGAGGCTCCGACGCCCCCATTCTTGACGTACTGCCACGTAAAGTCAAGAACAGGGCAAGTGAACCAGATGTCGCGATTTATCTGTGCAGCACGATAGTACTGCGGTGAAATTTGGCCCTCATGCTCCGACTTGATCATGTGTTCAAAGTCATCGAGAGGATATAGGTGTAAGAGCTTCTCTTTCGTGGATCCAGAAAGTTTGTGCAACCATAGTCCGAAACTCCCTAGAACTTCGTGGTCTGTCGCAGTGGTCGGCAGTGCGTACCAAGCACCGTCATTTGTGACCCAGGAAGCTATTATTGGTATGCCTTTGGTGAACTTCCCTGCACGCGTCAACTGCGAGGGTCTATCTTGAATGAAGTCATTGTCGATCGTTGGGTAAAAATACGCTTCGCCGAAAGGCGGACGGGCTGCCCGAGATGCAGTAACCGATAGGTTGGTTAGTTGTTCGAATGGAACACCTCGAAGGCACTCTAGTGTTTGCAAATCTTTCCCGTCGCCACATCCTACTTGCTGTGAAATAGCAGCCGTGTTACTTGCAACCAGGTCTGGCTGGCTATTGAAGTTCAGATTTGGGCCGCCTGACATCATTCTAAAGCCCCGGATAAGCATTGGATAGATTAAGGTCCGGGCTCACTTACACTGCTTGCTGAAATGGGACATCTTGATCGCCACCGAAGGCAGTTAGCTGCAGTCCAATATCACTAGCGCCCACACTTTGTCCGATGACAGTCACTAGGAGATACTCTGTCAGCATATCGGTGCTTGAACCTTGGAAACAGTAGGCTAGTATACCTCTGTTAGGGTCACCGCCAAATAACTCAATGTTGTCGCGCACCCCTGATAGTTCTATATTTCAGCCTTTCATGATGAGATCAAAGAGAATGGAGATACATACACTCCAAAGCAGCACGCTGGTCACGCAGCCCTGCATTTGTGTCTCTCCTCTCAATCAATGCTTCACTAGTTGCGAAGCCAAATACTGAACTGTCATCAATACACAACCTCGGCGCAGAGTAACAGGGATCCTTGATACAGGACTTACAGCCCAGGCGATAATTTATGCCAACATATACTAGTGGCAGCCCATCAGAAGCAGCCAATTTTACCAAACCGTCGGGCTCATAAAGAATATCAGAAGCTGAGCCCAAAGCATGGCCACCTGTCTACTCTTTAGGTTCTTCTGCACTCACATCCTTGCAAACCCTAGACTCACCTCCATGAATCCAAACCGCAACTGGAAGCTTGGCATCTTTCCGCGTTCCTGGCGGTCTCGCAATTCTCAAGCTCAAACAGTTTTCGCTAATGTTGGTCACACTACTCGTGAAGGGAAGTATATCCCCCGTTCCTTGTGGACACCAGGCACCGGACCGGGTGGCGTCAATAACAGAGCCTTTCACCGGTCGTGTTGGAACCGGTGCTGCGAAACGTCGCGGCCCCGTGGGGGCCTCTGCGTAGAAAATGTTCTGGAAATGTTCAATTCCAGCAAAGGATAGACTGCCAAGGTACGTGATATCTCGTGCAGAGTCCACTACCTTTAAGTTGGCAGTTGGATAAAATGTATTTAAAAGCTCCTGGTAATAGATTGCGATGATTGCCAGAAGCACGGCTACCATGGATGCAAACAGGCGGTTAGCCATGATGGCAACAACTATGTTGTCGGAGCCCTCAAACCCCTTGAAAGCCCCACGATAGATGAATGAGAAATCGAGGAAGAGAGTTGAAGAGTTGTTAAGGGACAATGGGGCTGGTAGGGATGACGTCTACAACCCCGGAGGAAGGTTACCGCGTTTGCTTACTACGTTTGCCTCGTTTGCTATGCATGTGTGAGGCACCGAGGCAACCAATATAATCTTGGATGTATACGGAGTAGTAAAACCCATATAGAATGAGTCAATTGAGATACAGTGAAAAATTCATTGAACCCAGATATTCGTAAGATATAATAGCTAGTATTCGCTTATAGGGCTCGGTTTCTGTTAAGTGAAGAACTGAATCGATTATCTGACTATATAACATATCTGTCTTCTTATTTTCTCATTATAACTAACCTTGCTTTGCTAAGTTGGTTTAGCACAGGAAGATATGTTCCACTCATTTTTGATTTCTGAAACCCACAGTCGGATTGAGAATCCTGGCCGGCCAGTGAAGAATATGCGCAGATTGACAGCGATCAGGCCACATAATAATGCCAACCTTTTATTCACGTTATTCCTCAAACTTCAGGAGCTGATGATATCGAAATCGCATTGTGTTGCTTCGTCATTCGTCCCGCTTCCGTGATTTTCGGGCCCATCCCTTTGGTGATATTATTTCCAAAGAACAGCGACATTGGCAGAGTATACGCGAAGGACATATCATTTGTTTTACCTTGTGCAGGTACATCTAATTCCAGTTGTTAACTCTTCGTATGTCTGCCCGGGCGGAATCCATCCGCTTGAGTCATGATTGTGCTTACCACTTGGTTCGATAATCGAATGGTTCAACACTTATCGAGAGTTGTCGTTTCATGAGCCGGAGTTTATCAAATGAATTCTCATAAACCTTGAGAAAACATTTATCCTCCGTCGATACATCCGTTCTCCATGGTAGATCTTGGCCGGGTTGGCACCATTCTGTTGCACTAGAGGGAGATTCTATTCGGGAAATTGATCTGCGCCGATGCCTTCGTTCCATGATAGTTTTGCATAAAGCCGGAGCGAAAGATATAGCGGACCCGTTGGCAGGAGTTGGCGTTGGTGTAGAAGGAGATTGATCCAGCAAGAGATACCTGCAGGTATCGGGGCAGAAGGAGCCTTCAGATGGGTATATACCGCAGGTCACACAGGGCTCATATTTGCAAGGCATTTTGTACTGGAAATTGATCATTCTTGGGGTTTCAATGCGGGAATTTAAAAGGTTTGTCCATCCCTCATAAACTATGGTCCTCGTAGACCACGGATCTAGCTAGTAATATATGGGGAAAAAAGTCACTCATGCAATCGATTACTAGGTAGCAATAGACCACAACGATATTTCAAAGTTTAAATAACCAAATCATGTTATTGGCTGGAGATAAATGCCAAACGGTTCCAACCATTGAGAGCTGGTCGGATGCAACCTTAACCCGTGGATGAGCATCTTGCTTACCTATGCACTTGAATTCCAAACTTCAGTTTTCGCATCAGACCACAACCATGCGCCACATCCTGTTGGGTAACATCATTGATTTCCCCGTACTCCTTTATGAACTTGTGGAAGTGATTGGTTGATGTGTACAGTGAAAGAGAGTTATACTTCGGGTGGCTGGCACACTCAGTCGCCCGTAGTCCAGACCTCCTATAAAAATTGGGACGAATAGAAGCACGAAAAAGCCAGAAATTCTTGTAACAGGAGCCAGTGAAAAGCAAAACGAAATTTGAAGTCGGAGACGCTGCAGCCGTTGGCGATAAAATGACCCATCTAGACCTATCCGTTACCGAGGATGTTCTACCACGTATGACACCATGGTGTTCGACAGAGAGGCTTCCCAGACCCCTAAGTTGGCCTACCTTATCCCAACAAAGTATAGCTATGGGAGCCTTGACAAGATCATCATGAGCAGTGACACAGCTCGACTACCTCCCATCGCGATTTCTCCTATATGAAGAGGAATGTATTCACTCTACAAAGCTGTCTCTGTTCCAGAATATGATCATGTTAGGACTTCAAGGAATGTAGATGAAGCTGCAATACCTTATGGCACCGGGTATTTGCAAATCCGCGAGTGGCAAATTCTCTAATAGGAAGCTATGAGCCCATACGTCTTACGATCACAGGTGGCAATCTAAAAGGCTCTCTTAATTTATCACCTGTCGCTACGGCTAGGCCTTAGGGGACTCATTCTTCTTATGACCGGGTCGAGTGTGCTTGAGCGAAAGGCAGGAACGTCGGTGTGAAACCCCGAATATGTAAGCTTCATCAGCGGGCTCGTTGATGAACTGCTCGAAAAATTACCTAAGCTATTATGGGAGCACATTTTGTTCCAAGGTTACTCTCATTCTACAACAAACGATGGATATTCGCGGGTTAGAAAAAGAAACCGACACAAATCAGTGGGCAAGCCTAAACAAACGCCTTACTTTAAGTTGTAGAATTAGCAACAGCTCGACGGTATTTTTGTTTCCTTCATCTTATATGATTGCTACCTAGGTCCTTAAATAGAAATATGTTTATAATTTTCCTTCTGGTCATTGGCAAGGCAGTTTTAGCCTACCAGATACTTCCAATTTATTCCACTTCGGTAGCCAGCTTTGGACTGTCTTCAGCAGCATATTTCCGGAGCATCGAGTACCGTTCCCTACTAACACTAGGAGAGTTATAGGATACTTCAATGCCGTATGGGCGTAGATCAGCCCCCATAGCATCCATTCGGTCCCACGGATATACCTCATCGGTAATGCTGATGTACTGATCAACATCAGGGTTAAATGTGATTTCGATCCTCCGGAGTGGACATCTGTGTTTGATTGCCTTGCGCGCGAGTAGTCGTAGCCAATCTTCTTCTGCCTGGCCGAAGTCGCGCAAGCTCTCACCGCATTGCTGATCTAGGAGTGTTAAATCCCAGTGAAAGACACGGAGGCGCGGGGCAAGAAGACTGTCAGGGGGCTCGCATATTTCGTTCATTTTGAAGAGTTGATGGCCAGAAAAGTGGGACGCGAGGCTAAGTTTCTCGAGGTTTTCGAACTCGCGCAAGTCAAATCCATCGAACCCGCTCTTGTGAAGGCCATATAATTTGATCGACCGAAGAGTTTTTCGGTGAGTGTACAGAATCGGTTGCAATGTTGCTAGGCTCCAAGATCCATAGAGCCCGGAGGTCGCGAAGTCATCCCCAAATGAATACTTCAGCTCAAATTCCTCTAGACGTCTTGGCCAACGGACGAGTGCTTCGAGGGATTTTGGAGTTAGGAGAAAGCTGCGCAGCTGAAGTTTCGTGAATGGGGCCGTTCCTGCTTTTTCCTATAAGACATTCATTCTGTTAGTATATCGGTACACGTTTGATAGAACCGGGGTACTCGAAATGCATATACATACCCTAAGCTCTTCCTGGCATATCTGGTCTCCGTAAATAGAAACACCTCCCAGTTTTAGGGTTTGGAGATTAGGGAGAGATCCAGACTTGAAATCACCCAATGCATCTATTACAAATGGTAGGTGAAGGTTATAGTGGCTGGCGTTGAGTGAGAGAATATCACAACCAGATATGTATTCTATGCCCAATCGGAGCAACTCCCATGCCTTATTGCCCCCGAAACCCCAGAAGGTCAAAGATTTGGCAGCAGTGAGCCAGTTGAGAAAATCTGTTACAGCGTAGAGATTATCATTGCTTGATTCGTCACAGGTCACTGTGAGGTGTCGACAGAGTTTCCAAAGCAATGGGTTCTCTCTGAAGGTGCGATGAAGGTACTTGGAAATTTGCGTCGGTCGTCTCCAAGTGTTGTCGCCGGTGTTGACTACTAACTCTGCGTACAAGTACGGCACAGTAATGCGATAAAATCGTTTACACACAAGAGATAGTGCAACGGCCATCTGGTAGGGTTGATATTGCTCGCATAAATATTTGAAGTCATCGATAATTGGCGCCATGTGACTAATAATCATACCCAAAAGCTCATCGGGTAATTTGAGGATGAAGGCCCGGTCTAGAGAGCTGTGATTGATATCCATGGTCGATACCATTGATACTGTGAGATGTGGAAAGAAAACTGGGTGTCTAGAAGGCGGAGAATGGAGAATGGAGACTATGAGGGGAAACCCCTTGTTGAGCCTCACACCGTCACTTCCAGCTTTGAGCCGCATTTTCTTGGCTGCCTCATTTCTAAGGTTACAACATTGTGCTTGGATTGTATGAAGCACTCTCCCAAAAAAAGGTCGAAGTACTGGAAACGTTCAAGTCACCAAGATGGTTATGACAAAGATTGTCGCATTGAGCATGGAGAGACAAGCTGGGATTTCAGTTTTATGGGCTATCGTTCGCGCGTTAGCACGGGGAGACTCAGAAGGAAAGGGTTGAAGGAGGTTGCAGAATGGGATGGTTTGACACTTCGTTACTTTGAAGCCCAACCTTGAAGTCTTCGCGTTATTTTTTTTTCATCGTTGATCTATTACAGCTCGAATTAAAAGCTTTGAATTTCCAAATCTTGATGTAACATTTCTATGTAAAGTAAGTGGGATCAGGTATAAAATGGCTATTGTTCCCATCACGTCCGCTTTTGACTCTTCCGGTCTTTACCTGGGGAACCTCTCTCACACAACCAGGCCCAGAGCCTATTCTTTCAATTTTCTGCTTCTTGTTCCTCTTTCTTCCACTGTCACTCTTCAGTCCTTGCCATACCTCCCCCCTTTCTACCCAATATGGAGACAACCAAGTTCCCAAAGAGACCCACGCTTAGATGGAACCAACACAAGCGCCTGGTGCTTTGTTATTTGTATCGATTCTTTGTTTGTAACAAGAAAGAAACAGAAGAAATATTCTCCTACATGTTTCGAAGTCACCTAAACGAGCGCAGTATTCCAGGCTTTATTCCATTTGCTACTCCCAACGCCCAGTGGGTTTGGCTGAAGAAAAAACGTGATCCAGTTTGGTCCCATGTGCATATGAACACCGCATTTGAAGCGAATGACGAGTGGAAGGAAATTGCTACACAGATTAAATCTGCAGCCAAGACTTTGCGGTTCGAGCTCCGTGAGAGGATGGAGGATGACACCAACACATCGTGCCAGAACTCATTAGAGTCCGACGATGAACGGAATACTGCATCCGTTAGTTGAGTTCGGACATATCCAATTTGCGATTACAAGCTGACGATTCATTCTCTTAGAATGGACCCGCCGCATCAATACTTCCCCACTCATTGTCTATTCCAGAGACTGCCGACCCGGTAGTATTGATATGCCCGACCCAGGATCGTGTTTTCAATGGAGGATCTAGAGACAATCAACACGCTGACCAAGCCATTGACCTATGCATCAACCAAAGCATTGGCCAACAGAACGACATCCAGAATGACACTCCCACTGGACTCCATGGGTCCACCGAGCCCGTCGTCACTACCCATAGCAAGCTCTGCCTCTGGTGTGAACACGAAGGAACCGCCTACGAGTCTGAGGACATTCAGGAACTTCAACACGAAGACTAAAACCATGAGAGTGGATATGAGAATCATAGCCATGGCAACCAGCATAATGACCGACAAGACGACCCGATTATTAGAGAGTACACCCAGGGATTCAGACAGTTTATGAGGGAGCTAGACGGTAAATTCTCCTATTCGGATGAAGAATTTTTTGATTCAGAGAGCGAGTACGTGATGACACCCCAAGCACGCCACTCAGAAGTGCACTCATTTTACGACCCACGCCTGTCCTTGCCTTCGGACCTAGAACAAGGGCTCCTAGATTCTGGGGATAATTCAGACTGGTGCGCTGACAGAGAAAGCCCGACCAATTTGGCTGATTTCGGGACCCCTGCAATCCCAATGGAAGACCGGAGCGGTGCCCTTGATGATCGAATTTCTACACAAAAGCCTCTTTCCAGCTTCTGTTTCCCCCATAATCACACAGCTCACGGTGAGACACCCTACGACGGCTTCAGCAGCCAGGGGGTGTTGCAGTATGCGGGGCCCTCAAATGGTGAAATGAGGGTGGAAACCCTGCGCCAGATATCTGTAGAAGCTCTTCGCCAGGTTGAAAACCGGCCAACAACTCAATTTAATCATCAGAAGGAGATGGATGTATTGATGTATGACGGCAACACCTGGAACCAAGTGTAGGAGCAGTGAAATGGATACTACATAAATGTGTATGAAGTCGAGCGTCTCATAGTTGACATGGTCATATTAATCCAAAATTGGATTAATCAGATACCAGTAGGTCACATTTTTCCTATTCATTTAGTTTTATGATGACTGACTCGGGTTCCCTCTTTCAAAGCTATAAAAAGCATCTCTGCTTGCACCAATCCCCAATATTTGTCACTGTCGGACCAGACACAGCGCGTAAGACACACTTCGAACCTGGAACCCAAATTTTTAACTCTATACAATTGTGGAAGGCCAGAACATAGCGATTATAAGTCGCCGGTTTGTAAGCGCTAAGATCCCTTTGATGGGCTATGATGGGTTATAATGGGCTCACGGGGAACCAGATATGTCAAATCCCCTCAACTGCTCCTCAAACTTCGTCCACTGGCCCTTCACCTTACATGCGGAGGTCCAGTAGTTCCCCTTGTCGTCTTTCCCGAGAATAAAGAAACCATCCGCAGGCTTCACAGGGCCGTGGTTCTCCTGAACATATGAAGGCCTGCATGGCAAACTATCATTCCTTGGGCCTTGGCGAGCCGGGGAAAAGTCCAAGTTGAACAAGCCAGCTTTCGACCAATTGGAGAAACCAACTTGGGCCATGCCACCATCCCCAAATACGACAATGGGTAGCCCAGTCCCGGAAGTGCGAACCATAGCGTAGTATGCTTCGTGTTGAGCACGCGTGCCCTGCTCATTAATGGCGCGCCGGACCTGCTGTGCGAGCCAGCTAAGGGGCTTGCAAGCTACGTCGCCCGCGGTAACAAGTACATTGGCCCAGCCGAAAGCGTTGCCGACGTAGGGATTCTCAGTGGAGGCCGGTAGGAGGTCACCTTCGAAAGATTTGCGGAGCGACATGGCGATTGATGCAGCTACCTAAAGAAGGAGCGGTGTCAGTAACTTATTTGACATGTGCAAGTATCAGAACTTGCCGTTCTCTCGGGGTTCATCCTCATCTCGCCAACCACACAGCGTAAGATCCAGGCCGTCAGAACGTCATTCTCGGTCAAAAACACCTTTGAGGCGTCTTCGCCGTTCGCAATCGCCTCAGTACGAAGCTCCTCGAAAGCCTTCTCCCATTGTGGCCGCCAATATGTTTCTGGAATACAGACCATGCGGTTCTCCTTGGCTCTGACGAGCATATCAACCCCATAACCCAAACCCCACCGCAGCAAACCTGCCAGCCCGACCCTTCTGTCAGTCAACACGTGTTTCTCGGTGGCGGGGCGTGATCCCTGGGCGAGAGAGTGGAATGGATCCGAATCGAGACCACATGGGATCAATACTTCGGCTGCTTTCCCCCAAAGCATGGAACTCCATCCCTCAACAACATACTGCATACCCAGCGCATCGAAGGCAACATGCTGCCACTGCAGCACCACAACTGTCGTGTCGGTGAAAGAGTTGACGCGCAGCCCTAAGACAGGAAGGTCGGAGGTGAGGTAATCATTTATCCCGTTGGGCTTGTAGCCGGGCTCCCATGCCAGGCCTTCTAGGTCATCCGGGTCGCCGACGACGCAAGGTCGATCTTGTGGCTTTGGTATCCGGGATGCTGCCGGGTGCGAAGCGGCAGGAATGCCATGGTCAACATGCGCGAAGGAGATTGCTGGTCTCTCGGCTGAGAACTTGGCTGGAATGTGCCATTCAATTTTACCAGAGGCCTATTTGGTAACATTGGTAGTGTTAGTATACACTTTTGGGGAATTTCTTTATATTCATGCCGCTCCGGACTTTCCCGGATATCGTCCATTCTTACGTTCTTCCTCAATCTTCCTCCTAGCCTTTGCCACCCCTCTTGCTTGACCAGGCCTTCAAGGGACTCGCGCAATCTTTCTGGATCGAGCACCGCATCGAACACGAGCGATACGGCCATGTTGTTGCCCTGTACAAGCAGGCTATCCTCAAATAAATGGAGTGGCACAACTCGATCGCCTGGAATTGGCTCCATGATGGGCTGACGCCCAAACGGCAATTTCATGCTGTGAATTGGTTTATCATGGACAGGAACCAAACTACGGAGTACATAAAGAAAGATCACCTCGGGCTTCTTGCTCCAGAGAAATAATCATCACATGCATTATTCAGCCGACAAACCCCTATTCCCAGATACAGCCAAAAAGATGGCGCGGGGGACCGTCTCGTGTTTTCTCTAAAGGCTAAATCTAATGCACACTATATTAGTGTCGATCTCCACTTGGTGTCGAACTTCCTTGGAATTGACGAGTCTTCCGTCAAGATATTTTCCGTTGGCGTGGAATAAGTACCATTTGTGGGGGACATGGAACAATATCTTTGTGATAGGTTAAGAAATGACAGTTTACGGCAGTTAGCTCTGCTCGAAGGATGAGCTAAAACAAACTAGCCCCCACTTAGGCTTTTATGACTGGTTACTTTTGTTTTTCGCTGCCGTTCTGGATCCCCTTTGACAGGCGCTGAGGCCGCATGGCGGGAAATTGCCGACATCTGGACGGGGATTTATACAATATAGAGGCAGAAGCCCCAGATTGATATGAATCAAATTAACTTCACAATCAGATTATGGATCTGGCTACGACCCCAGGAATGCCGCCCCCAGAGGGCCAGGAATCGCATTTCCATGAGCCCTATAACTCGTTACAAACAGGCACTGTCATCGCCTTTGGCATCACCTATCTCATTGCCACCATTTTCCTTGCTCTTCGCTATTTTCAGGCTTTCAAGCTGACCAAGAAGATCGAGGTAGATTTGAGTATGATACGAACCTCCTCGAGAATCTGCTAGGCACTTACCTCTACTACACTCGATAGTCACTATCACGATCTCCTATGGCGTCGCGCTGGTCTATTTCGTGACTGTGGTTAACTGCAAGTCTCGCCTATCTTTTGTTTTAGCTATAATCTGACAATGTTAAATAGTAATGAGCTATGGCTGGGGAAAGCACATGTGGAATGTCAGCCTGGAGGATCTCATGGAGTTCAATAAAGTGAGACTTCTTTCTATATTGTAGAGCGAGCACACTGGCTAACAAGAAGCAGCGGTTGCTCGTCAATACGTTGACTTATTTGATATGCCCATGCATCACCAAGATGGCCATTCTGTCTGTCTTATTTCAAATCAGTCCCGCAAGGGTATACCGCTACCTCGTCGTGGCTGTCGCAGTCGCGATCTTTGCATACACCCTGACATTATGCATCATCACCGGAGGACCATGCAATCCCCTCCATGCGGGAACTACAGCGTGCCTAGAAAACGTCGCCCTTTCTCAGGCAGTTCTGAATATTGCCTCCGATTTAGCCGTGATCGCCATCCCGATCCCAACGATCCACAGTCTGCATTTTTCAGCGAAACAAAAACTCACGGTCGGCTGTTTATTGGCTCTAGGATCTGGGTACGTATTTGCTTACTTCCTAACATATCTGTGTTATTCTATCTTTTCTCTAGAAACAATCCCCCGCTAATCCCTACCCCACAGCGTCATCATCTGCTCAATAGCACGCCTACCATACGTCTTGCTCCTCGGCAAAACCGCCGACACAACCTATACCGAAGCAATTTTAGGGGTGTGGTCCCTCGTCGAGGTCAACCTCGGTATCATCTGCGCCTGTGCAATGCGGTTCAGGCGCCTGATCGCGGTATATCTGCCGCGACTTTCACTTTTCTCGTCACGTTCACACGGAACTGCGAAAATCACAGAGGACACACCTATAATAAACAGGTTCCAGCCCAAAAACAGTGGAGGGCAGCACTCGTACGAGCTGCGCAGCGTCCAGGATGGGCACGTCAATCCGTTTGCCGGTACAAAAGATATCTCTGTTCACCGGTCGTTCCAGGTAGATGAAGAACGCACACATGCGTATCGCGGGAGCAATGATAGCGGTGACAAGATTCTAGCTTGAGGCATTTATGTCAAAAAATATATAGATTTCATTGCTTCTCACCGTCACGTTTTCATGATTTATTAGCGTGTATGGCGTAGAATTTCAGGGAAATACTTGAATGAAAAGAGATACCAAGAATAAAAAGACTTTCCATGTGTGCAGCAAGTCATTGTAGTAAAGTAAAAAGTTAACAACCCCATCTATCATCTATTCATCCCCAAATAAGCCACGCAACTCCCCAGAACAAGCCCGTTCATCAGAACTCACAAAGAGAGCATTATCATCCCCATCACTCAATTCCAACGGATTTTCAGGACCACCCTTGAAAACACCAGGAGACTCTTCATCCTCAAAATAATAACCACCAAGACCATCAAAATTATCCCTCGCCCCCCTCTTTTCCAACATCGTCCTGATCTTATCCATGATATCTTCAATTTGCCTAGAGATATTGTCCAGCTCATGATACATCTGACGCGCCAACCAGGTTTCACACTTGCGCCCATGCTGGTTCCGGATGCACTGGTCGTACTGCGACACCGCGCGCGACACCGGCGTGTACATAGCGGAGATTTCATTGTGCACGTCGGGTATGTAGTCAAAGACTGGGTCGTAGGAAGTCTCCCTCTCGTCGGACGAGTAGTTGAATAGACTCAGCTCCAATCCCCGGGGGACGATGAACTCTGAAGGGTGTGGGATTTCAAATGGGTTTGCGGAGTTGGTAGAAGTACTGTCCTTTACATCCTTCTGATCCGACGACGACTTGGGGGAGAGTTCACGTTGAGTGCGCTCGGGAGATGCGGGCTGCTGCATTCCATGCGACATGGCAGACTTGATTGCACTGTTGTCTCTCTGGGGTTCCTTTTTGGATGAGCGCTTGTGTGATTTCTTGGAGGCCTTGGAGCTAATCGACGCCTGGGAGATGGTCTCCATTGAGGAACTCATCCTCAGGTGCTTGGCCTCAGATCTACCTCTCCTCTTGCGTTTCTTAGTCTCAATCGACTCAGAAGGGCTGGCATTGGGGGGATCCTATAGTGCATATGTATATCAGTATCTTTTTTATCATCCGGAGGCTGTGGGGATATGGTATTCAATATAGATCCATGGATAGTATGAAGGCTGATTGAAGTGATGTAAGTGTGTAGTCGTGAAACCAGACCTTCACTTGTTTAGCATCATGGGTGGGATCTTTGAGGCGGGCTGAAGCCTGGGCCTGTTCCTTTGGAGTAGCCGGCATCATTCTGGTCAGATTGGCGATGAAACAAGGATATCAAAGGTTTCTATTGGGCCAAGGGGATGAAGATATAGAGATGGAGAGGGATAGTGAATCATTGTGAAGACAGAGTATTGGCATCAATTTATAGATGTCCATAGCTGTGAACGACAAATGAGAACGGCAAACAATATTGACAAACACCCCAGTATCAAAATCGATGTCGTATCAGACGCATGTGTACTGATCAAGATGGCAAGATGTGAAGATGATAGGTGATAGTTTATGTTGGTTGAATACACATGAAAACCAGTACGAGTATCGGATTCCAGAAGAGAAATAAGTAGAAAGTAAAAGATCATGCTTGATCGAAGATGTGAATATAATAAAAAGCGTTATGTCCAGGAGAATAGTGCGCAAAAATCAACAAAAGATAAGCTCCACAAGAAAGGCAGACGTGAAAAGATAACCCAAAAGGGCTCATTATGTATTATCTAAGACGTAGACAAGACATATACACCAGAAGAAGAACCCACAGCCGTAAACACCCGATAGCATCGTGCAGATATCATCAAATTGATAACACCCAGTCACGATGCTATCTCTTCATGAGACCATTGACACACTCAACTGATTTACAGAAGGAGGGCAACGGCACCGAAGACGGCAGCCAGACCGGCACCAGCACCGGTAGCGGCGTTGATGGCACCGGCGTTGAAGGCGGGCTGGGAGGGGGTGGCAGCGCTGGAGGGAGCGCTGGGCACACCAGTGGCGCCAACACCGGGGACCAGAGGGGTGGAGGTGGCGACGCTGGGGACGACGGGGATGAGGGGAACGCTGCTGGCAGCCACGGGGGTGGAGGTCACGGCGGCAGCAGAGCTGAGGAATATGTTAGACTGGATTGATTGGTCATGTTGGAGGGTAATTCTTACCAAGACTTGCACTCAGTCACGGTGGAGGTCGAGATGGGACGAGTGACGGTGTAGGGACCGTGGGTCATGGTGATGTAGCCGGGCTAGAATTGCTGTTAGTATGGGTGTTGCAAACTTGTTGGACAAGGTACACATACGGTGGAGATGCTGTAGGTCTGGCTTCCGTGAACAATGGAGGTAGCCTCGGGGCAGTAGGTGGTGTACTCGGTAAGAGTCTCGGTGACAACACCGGCCATGGCACCAGCGGCACCGAGAGCGAGAGCGGCAATAGAGAAACGCATTGTGATAGAGTTGATAGAGATGATTGGAATGGTTCCAAAAATGTTCCGAGATAAGGTTATTTAAAAGAGTGACAGGGTTTAAAAGAATGTAATCGGTTGAAAACCGGGGAGTTTAAAGAATGTATGGGTGAAGAAGAGAGAGGGAAGAGAAGGGGGGGAAACAGGGGAGTTTATAACCAATCCTGTAGATTAATTAAATGAGATTCAGGTACCCGTGCCACTAAGGCACACACTGCCCAGGGAAACTGAAAAAAAAAAATAACGGGAAAAGGGGCAGAGACAAGTGAGTGGCAATAAGAGACTAGGACAAATATAAACAATGATGAAATTGGGGAAACTAGAAAAGGTACTTAATATTACACCTAAATTACTATGAAGATCCAAGTCACTTCCTCCCTAGCGTCCCCCACCTCAGCTTAAGGGCACGCACTCAGGAACTGGTTCAAGGTGCGTGGCTCAGGGGATCCTTTCCTATTTGGGCCCTGATTGGCTGCTAGGGTTGGACTAATTTCCCTGGGCACTGGCCATTATAGTTCTAGGTGTGTTGATCTTATTATCTTGGATTTTTATCTTGTCTTTTATATGTTGAATAGAGAAATTTCATCTCTTAAATCTAATGGGTTCTATATCTTAAAAACGTCCCAGGGTTCCAGGTTTGGATAATGGATAAAGAATTATATTTATCTCTACTCCGTACAATATGTTACCTACCTAGGTACCTATGAGGTATAAACTTTAGAAGCTTCTTAATTTAGACAAGCCTTCCCTTTTATATGTACTCCATACGGAGTACTCCGTACTTTGATATACATCATTTTTTGGAGAGATATCAGAAAAGAATACCATCTCTAAATAGACGCCCAAAATAGACATTTGGCGTCTCGTATCCTCCATTATATGTCTTTGGAGTACCAATTTTTTTTTAACTCCCCAATTATAGATGCAAGATGAATAACTAGAAATTAAGTAAGATTCCCTCTTGAATCAGACCCTTTTTTGACCAGGCTTGATTACTTCCTAGGTATCGTGCTTATGCAAGAAGCGGACCCTCGGTGTAGTGGGACCTGTTGACCGCTTTGTTGGCTATGTGAACTTTGGAATAACCGTGGAAGCCTTGGAAACCCATTATGGCTTATTGGACTTTTCAAATGGTCCAAGATGAATCTCCTAGATCTGCCACTTGAGATTATCCACCTAATTTTCCAGTCTATACCCGACCAATGGGGTCTCTACAGTCTCTCTTCCTTACAAGACCCCCCCCAATCCACGAGGTTTCTCTCTTGATCTATCGTCTCTTAACTCTTTTGTCCAGACATGCAGAACGCTATACATGCCTCTGAACCCCTTCCTCTATCAGTGGGATGCCGAGTTTTACTCCAACCGGGCCCTGCGCTGGGCAGCAGAAAGTGGCAATCTAGCAACTGCGCGGCTCTCACTCAAAGCGAGGCTCCCAGAGGAAGGATGCCGCAAAAGATGGGAGTACTTGTATCTGGCTACACATTATAACCAACAAGCCATCGTACGCCTTCTACTGGAGCATGGTATCGACCCGAATCGGATTGCGTACCGGGACACTGAGGTGGACGACGGCGGGGATCAGAACAATTTCAGTATCAATCTGCTCGATGAAGCCGCATACGGGGGCTCTGTGCCAATCCTTGAATTATTACTTGATCATGGGGCGGTCACTGACCGTCTAACATTCATAACAATGCTAGAACACGCAGCGGGAGAGGGGCGCCTTGCTATCGTCAAACTTCTTATGGAGAATGACTGTGGTCTTGGAGTGATCGATCCTGCCGAATATCACGATGCTCTATGCAGAGCAATTGAGGCAGGATCCACCAGTGTGGTTCGGTTCCTGCTTGAAAAGGGGGTTTGTCCCGAGATGCCGCCGGGGATACAGCCGCCAAGTCGGTTGTCCATGGCTCTGGCTGCTTACGTGCACGACCCAGAGATAGTCAAGATGTTGCTCGCCCATGGAGCGAATCCATTTCCCGAGGGACCGGTCGGCACCAATGTCCTCCCATTGGTAAATGCTGCTAGAGTGAAGAATTATGCAGTGGCTCAGCTCCTCCGTGAATCTATCGATCCGGAGGAGATGATCGGATCGAGAGGCCGGAACCAAGAATTTCTATTGTTGGCTGCTGCTGCCTGTGGATGGGACGATATGGTACGGCAACTCCTCGACCAGGGCTGTCTGGTGGATACAAAGGTACGAAATTTATACTCTTTCAATTCAACTAGTAAGCCCGACATCGACAAGCAGCATCTCCCAGCGATATCGCTCGCGGCCGATCGAGGTCACTACAGCACTGTGCAGCTACTACTTTCATATAATGCAAGCTGCAATCCCCCCTCGAGATACGAAGAACCCTTCCCACTTCTCCATGCAGTGGCCTCAGGGCACCTAAATATTGTGGAGCTTCTCCTCGATCACGGTGCAGAACCAAATGGTATAGGACGATGGTATGAGTGGAGCAAGGGTATTGGTGATCTACCATGCATATATTGGGCTTTGGGACATCCGAAGATCTTCCGTTTTCTGCTTGACCGAGGCGCGGATCTATCGGTGCCAGCAGTTGAAGCCGTCTTCCAAATCCACCGGGATATACATGGGCTTGTCTCGATCAGTCATAAGTTTGAGGGCGGAGGGCGCGTACCCATAAGCACACTTGTCATCCGAGAGGCTCTCAAAAGGGGTTGTACCGAAATAGTTCAAATCCTCCTGGAAAGAGGCATACCATTGCAAAACCCCGGGGATGCTGACTGTTGGGGTTACAAACCCCTACCAATAGCGGCAACGGCGGAGGATGAAGAAATGACAAGGCTTATCTTGGACCATAGATTCAATCTTTCCTCGGGGAGCCTAGGTGTCGAGGAAGCCATAAACATTGCTGTCGGTGAAGCAAACTTCTTGTTGTTTAAGCTCCTGCTAGACACAGGATGGTTGAATTCTCCATCTGCTTCTCTGGGAGATCGAAACATTCTGGGAATGGAGATACCTGCGCCCCCAAGGCCACGGAAAGATACAAATACTGATGCTACTGTGGATCTGCCAACAGAGCACGGCACGTACAATGAACCGAGAGAATCACCTCTAGCCACGTCGCCTCTTGATCATCTGTTCACGAGCCAGGCTGTATCAGGCCCAGGAAATACGGACATTTTCGTTCAGTTTTTGTTGGAACAAGGTGCAGAACCCCTCGGAGGATCTTCCGCCCTTATGACTCCATTAGGAATAGCTTCGAAACGAGGATATATCCATATAGTTCAGCTTATGCTGAGGGTCATTGATAGACAGACTATTACGGAGGAAGAGCTCTTGCTTAAGCTTGGCGTGATTCTTGAGATTGAACCTCTAGACGCAGTCGATCATAATAGTTATGCCGAATACTACACTGAGCGGAGCAGCAGAAACCTTCCATAGAGTGAGTTGAAAGGTAGGAACCGGATTTTATTCAAAATTATTATGCCGTTTCCCCGGGCTAGCATTAGCTATAAGTCTTGTTTGAATGAGCATTGTACTGTGAGTATCAAGTTAGACTGGAAGACAACGTGGTGAAGGAAGGGAAACGGAATATAGGTGAACAAGGTCGGTTCTATTCTTGTCTTAGGCCATACAATAGATGCAATAATGGATTGGGGATCTTTGTTGCGACGATTACCCCCTACCATAGTACAAACACGGCTCATATGTTGCAAGTTCTTTGGATTGCATCAACACCTTGATCCCTTGCTGGCCAATGTAGTCGTATTGTGACGGTGGAGTGCACAAAAGAGGGGAATGCGAGACAAGAATATGGAGGAGCGAATCATGTTAAGGCTGATAGTAATGATCATATACTGTGAAGCTAATTGTACTCGGCTAATTGTACTCGAGAGTCACTCGGAGCATACGTGAATCGTATGTCCTTGTTATACTAGAGTGTCGACAATGCGACAGTGGAACTGTTGCCACGAAAGGTTCAGGGAGACGTGGATATGACCAATCCCGACCTGCCAAGGGAGGTGAACCAACACAACAATTCCAATCCGATGGTACTGGCCCCTTAAAGGATGGTTAAGAGGCGTGGGACCTTTCAGCAGCGCCCGTCCAGCGCCAGCTAGACCGAAGTCCAGCCGTCACCGACGAGTGCTGACACAGATAAAAGACGCCGTTTCTTCATCTTGGATTTAGTTGTGTGAAGAAGAAAAGGAGGGAAAATTTTTGCCGAGCGAAGATAAACCAACAGCTGGTGCACGGACCAGGCGGAGAGCCCAAACGGGAATAGTGCATTTTTCCCGCTTTCCGCGGGCAACGGAAAGGTCCCCAGTGCTCGTCCGACTAGCATCAGTCGTTTAAAAGCCGCCGCTTTCCTATCGGCGAAGTACATAATAATCTGCTTGAGAATTGACCTTCTTCAGCTTCATCATGTATCTGTCTCGCTGTGGTAGATCCGCTGCTCGCTTGCTCCCCCTTGGGAGCTCCCGGGCAGCCGCTGTCTCCGCTCGCGCCTCTATCGTGCCCAGATTGGCCCCCCAATCGCGGGGAGTAGCGTCGTCCACTCGCGATACCCAGCACAAGGTTAGTGGCCGGAATCGATTCAATGGCAAGCGGAACATGCAGACTGACCATTTGATAGCTTCTTGCGGCCTCTCTGGAGGAGTCCGACCCCGCCGTTTATAGCATCCTACAGAAGGTGCGTCATCGCCGATAGAGAGCTCACCAATTGACCGACCAGTCGCTAAACCCATCCCAGGAGAAAAAACGTCAAAAGCACTTCATTAACTTGATCCCCTCTGAGAACTTCACATCGCAAGCTGTTCTCGATGCCCTAGGCAGTGTTATGCAAAGTATGTCCTCCGAGTGACCGCCTCTACTTGTCCGACAGACCATCCAGACCATCCTAACCGCAATTCAGACAAATATTCCGAGGGATACCCCGGTGCTCGGTACTATGGAGGAAACGAACACATTGATGCCTCTGAGCGGTTGTGCCAGCAACGTGCCCTGGAGACTTTCCGTCTGGACCCAGCGGAATGGGGAGTGAACGTTCAACGTATGATACAGTCGACGTGATACAATGATAGACGCAGAGGCTAACTCACTCCAGCTCTGTCCGGTTCACCCGCTAACCTCATGGCTTACTCCGCCCTCCTCAACACCCACGACCGCCTTATGGGCTTGGACCTCCCCCACGGTGGTCATCTGTCCCACGGTTATCAGACCCCTACCAAGAAGATTTCCGCCATCTCCAAATACTTCGAGACCCTCCCTTACCGCCTCGATGAGTCGACTGGTCTGATCGACTATGATGCATTGGAGAAGTCCGCTACCCTATACCGGCCCAAGCTGATTATCGCGGGTACCTCGGCCTACAGCCGTCTGATTGACTACCCACGCATGCGCGCAATTGCCGACTCCGTAGGCGCCTACCTTCTGTCCGATATGGCCCACATCTCGGGTCTTGTAGCTGCCGACGTGCTCCCATCTCCCTTCCCCTACTCAGATGTCGTAACCACCACCACTCACAAGTCTCTACGTGGCCCGCGTGGCGCCATGATCTTCTACCGCAAGGGTGTGCGCAGCACCGACAAGAAGGGAAACCCTGTGATGTACGATCTCGAGAACCCTATCAACGCATCCGTCTTCCCCGGCCACCAAGGTGGCCCTCACAACCACACTATCACCGCGCTGGCCGTGGCCCTCAAGCAGGCTCAGTCGCCCGACTTCGAGGCCTACCAGAAGACTGTGCTTCTCAACGCCTCTGCTCTGGCCCGTCGCCTTGGTGATTCCACCAGCAACGGTGGACTCGGCTACAACATCGTGTCCGGTGGCACCGATAACCACTTGGTGCTGGTGGACCTGAAGAACCGCGGTGTGGACGGTGCTCGCGTTGAGCGCGTTCTCGAGCTGTGCGGTGTTGCCAGTAACAAGAACACCGTTCCCGGTGACAAGTCCGCCCTCAAGCCCGGCGGTCTGCGTCTCGGAACCCCTGCCATGACCTCCCGTGGCTTCCAGCCCGAGGACTTCACTCGCGTCGCCGATATCGTCGATCGTGCGGTAACCATCACCCAGAAGTTGGACAAGGTTGCCCGTGAGTCGGCTCAGTCCCGCGGTGTCAAGAACCCTAATACTGTTAAGGCCTTCTTGGACTACGTGGGTGAGGGTGAGGAGATCTCGGAGATTGTTGTGCTCCGCCAAGAAGTTGAGGACTGGGTTGGTACCTTCAGCCTGCCGTGGGCTGAGGAACAGTAGACGTTTCTTTTTTCTTTTTTCTTTGATTCCCTCTGTATATTTCCTTGCATGATTTCGGACGAATATGATTGAAGACCTTTTTATTTAAGACCAGAAAAAAAAAAGAATTGAATTATTATCTAAAGAACAATATGAAAGTGAAGTGGCCTTATCAGTTATGTTAAGAGTCCAGCAAGTAAAAGAGCGGGTTTTACTCCGCAAAGTCTAATTTGGGGAACGGAAAACGATGTCATTATCTTTCCCCGACATCGGCTTGCCAAAAGTGAGTTTTCGTACTCCGCACTGCATCGAGGCACGATATACTGCTTTGATTTCATATGTAGCAAGCCTTTCACCTACAATCATGAAAGTCAGCCAGGTACGGACATGGAATTAAGACCAAGACGGGCAACGGCATGCTAATCTACTGTCAGCTCTATGTCTACCCAATTAAATCCCTTCGGCCAACTACAATCACAGAGGGAATCCTAACCACACGCGGCTTTCAATATGACCGCCACTTCATGCTCCTCAAAGTCATCCCGGCCGAGGATGGCTCGGGCACCACGACTCTGAAGAACATGCATGTCCCGCACTTCCCAGAGATGGCCCTGTTCCACACCGACATTGAGTATCCGGAGACAGAGAAGGACAGCGGGAAATTAATTATCACATACCACCCTCCTCTGTCGGATTCAGCTCCCGAACTCCGCGAAATCAATCGACTGGAAATCCCACTTAAGCCCAACCCAAAGAGTCTCAACCCTCTCAAAGTCATGATGCACAAGAGCCCAACAACAGGATACAATATGGGCGCAGAGTACAACGACTGGTTCAGCGCCTGCTTCGGATACCCCGTAGTGCTAGCCTACCTCGGACCGCACTCGAGAGAGGTGCTTGGCACACTAGCGCCAGGAAAGAAAAACAAAAAGACCGCGTTACGCACAATACGTGAAAGTCTGACGAATCCCGACAGGAAATGGGAGCGGGTTCTCCCGGTTCTTATTGTTGCATCCGCGATTAACATACTCCTTCAAGGCGGTACTCTCGTCCGCGACGGGATAACTCCTCAAACAGCTCGCAGTCTCACGCCCACGCTTCTTTTCACTGCTGGTGCGGCGGTGCTATATTACTTTTACACTCTGCACGCACAGCATGAGGACCGCATTACTTTTGCGGATTGCGCGCCTTATCTCGTTATCTCCGAGACATCCGTCGATAATGTCTCAGCGCGGCTGCCGGACGGGGAAAAAATGGACCGTACGAAATTCCGGCCTAATATTGTTGTCTCGGGGGCTGGAGAGGCTTTTGAAGAGGACTTTTGGAGCGCGCTGACTTTGGGCAATGGATTGGGGCGTGGGTCGAGTAAACTGTTGCTGACGGGGAATTGTGTACGCTGTCAGAGCCTAAATGTTGATTACGAGACTGGGAAGATGGGGACTGGTGAGTCTGGTGCTGTGCTTAAAAAGTTGATGAAGGATCGAAGGGTGGATTCCGGGGCGAAGTTTAGTCCTGTCTTTGGTAGGTATGCTTTTCTGGAGCCGAAGGGTGAGGGGATTAATCTGAAGGTTGGTGATGAGATTGTTGTTGCCGAGAAAGGAACTAAGAGGTCTATTTTTGGTGAGTGTTTCTCCTCTTTTTACTGGCGAACTGTGGGAGTGGATGCTAATTGGGTTTTTTAGATTGGCCTGGCATGACGAATTAAACATAAATAGGTTTCTCTTTTAGTTCTATCGATATGGACATCTGTATATAGATATCGGGGAAATTGACGTCATCTTGAAGATTTGAATATACAAATTTCAGGCGAAACTTTTTATCCTAGCACAATTCTAGCGAAGTTGCAAGACTCCTGATAATCAAATTTTACATGTACATCGTAGCTGAAACTCGAGTGAGAAGTAGACGAAAGTGATTCAATTGGTAGATAATCTGGGCACACAGCCACGGTTACGTCATATACAAACACCGCCACTAGTTGCCCCAAGTAGTCACCTGACTTTCTTGATCCATGGAAAGGCAACCAAATGATGTGGGCACTTGGATTCGAGTTCTAAGAATAACTTGCAATTAACTTGAATGACAGTTTCGTTCTTCCCTTGCATTTTATTGATTTGTGCAACTTCATCTACATTTGCGTTGTGGTTAAGCCAAGTCCAGCCTTACCGAACTATTCAGGGACTGTGGCTCAAGTCCCTCCAATCATTACCCATACGCCGCTGCCTATTCAGAGTCCACTAAGCTGCAACTCTCACGTTCACCTGTCACGCACCCAACCAGAGCTGCATTCGACTTGTGTTCCACCTGTGTGACGCTTCTACCTCTTTTCCAAGACCTCATCGGTCAGGCGCCAACCATCCCGCGACCCGGTGCATAAGGCATTGCTGAGCCCCGCCGCGGGTAAGCTGCCGCAGCAGAAAAAAAAAAAAGAGCGATCGTAATCGTTCCAAAACATAACTGTTATAATCGCCATGGATCCAGCCAATCTGCGCCGCAAGGACACCACCAAGGGCCCTCCGCTGCGGATCCTGTCTCTAGGTTAATATCATCTCCCTTCCCGACGTATATCAGACTCAGCTGACCTGAACAGATGGCGGTGGTGTTCGTGGTTACTCCATGCTTATTCTCCTCCAGGAACTCATGTACCGCACCTATGTCGAATGCGAAGGTAAGCCTCCGCGTCGCGACCAGATACCCAAACCCTGCGATCATTTCGACTTGATCGCCGGTACCGGCACTGGCGGCTTGATCGCTCTGATGCTCGGTCGCCTCCGCTTGGATCTTGAGACTTGCAAAGAAGTATACGTGCGTATGACTCGCAAAGTATTTGAGACCGACAAGACCATCGCTGGTATTCCCTACCGTTCGACTTTGTTCAAGGCCTCGAAGCTCGAGGAGGCGATCCGGGAATGTGTACGAGAACATACAGTGTTCGAGGCGGAGGGAAATGACACAGGGAATGCCCCCAATCGTGATTCTATGGCTTCTATGACAAGCCTGCCATACAGTCCAGCCTCTATTCCGCAACGTTCTATCAGTCGGGGGAGTTTCAGCACCGCTGCTGCTTCGCATCCAATGTCCCCGACAAGCCAAAGAGGCTCCGTTTTCCTTAATGGGTTGCGTTGGGGTAACCCAGACGCGCTGCTTTATGATAACCGAGAAAATCGGACGAAAACGTGAGTTTTACATTGCGAAACCATGGGTCGCTGGTACTGATATGAAACATAGTGCGGTCACTGCTATGTACAAGGGCACTCCACGCAAGGGATCAGCTGTCCTTCTACGGTCCTACGACTCCCGCCGAGAACCTCCACCAGAATTTGACTGCACTATCTGGCAAGCAGGACGTGCGACATCTGCGACGGGGCTTGCTTTCAAGCCCATTCAGATTGGTCAACACCATTTTATTGATGAGGGCCATGGAACATTCAACCCCGCGCCACTGGTCCTTGATGAGGCTGTGGTGAATGAGTGGCCAGGTCGAGAAGTTGGGGTCTTTATCAGTGTGGGGACTGGAAAGCGCCCATCTGGTACCAATAATCGACAGCATGAATGGTGGGAGGATTTCTTCGGCGACTCACTAGGCACATTCGCTGAGGCGCGGCGTCGATTGATGACGAAGATTGAGGGCTGCGAGGATATCCACAACGATATGCTTCGAGATCGTCTCGCCAAACGAAATGTCAGCAAAGACAATTATTTCCGCCTCAACGTTGAGGTCGGTGTTGGCGAGTTTGGTATGAACGAATGGAACCGGCTAGCCGATATCAGCACCAACACACGGCAGTATCTGGCCAGACCTGAAGTGAAGAAGATGATTCTAGAAGCGGGTGTGAGATTTGCTAAAATTGACCGCATGAACCGCCGCCTAGCGAGCCACGCCGCAGCCGGCGGGGATCGCGATGATCTATCATTCGATCTTGCGACTGAAGAGCTTTCGCTTTCTTCTCCCGTTCAATCCCACGTTCAATCCCACGTTCCACCCCCTGCGCACTTCGCTGTCGAATTACCCGCAGAACTACCTGCTGAGTTTTTACACCACTCCCCACCTTCACAGGCGCCGCCACCTATTCCAACCTTTGTGACTACATCACCACCGGATGACACGCTCCCGGTTCACCCAACACCTCAGGATAGCATATCTACTTCCCCACCCCGACAATCTGGCAGTGACTATCGCCGAAGCCACGAGCTTGCAAGCCGCCCAAGCTCGCAACAACAGAACTCGCCCACCCGCAGTGATGAGTATTTTACAACATTCAATGGCGTGCCACCGGCACCACCGGTGCCACCCAAGACGCCTATCCCATACCCAGCTCAAGAAGATGATGGGGGTGTGGCTATGCCCGCACCGCTATTCTCCCAAGCACCATCGTCTACTTCGAACACCAAAGTCCGACCTCCTTACCCAGTTGATGAGCCGCCACCAACGGTGAACCGGCAACGGAAGCCTAGCTACCATGTGCGGTGATGGTGATCCCTTATCCTGTGCTTTCATCTGAGGCGTTTTTTTTTTTCACTTTTTACATGTGCACTACGTTGTTTTTGTGTCTTTCCTGCTGAATACCCCTCCGTTGAGAAGGTTTATTAGGGCTGAGAGGGTGTCTTGGGCGCATGCAATTCTATTGGGGTTTTTTTTATCTTAGTTGATCCCCTACGAACGATGGCCAGTGCCAGCCTCGTTGGGCATAATGAATGATGACATTTATGAGACACCAAATGTGGGAACTGATTGCTCTGTATAGTAATTATGTGAGACAAAACAAAAATAGCATGGCACTTTTATATTAGGCATCCGTGTAAATGTACAAGGAACTTTGTAGGGGCAAATAAATACGGAGTAGCCTGTTGATCTTAATATACTCCGTACAACATATAGTACATCGTTCATCCAAGGGCAGCCTAATGCACCATCTCCATAGACTAAGCAACATAGGCCGATGCTAAAAACCCTGGAAGGTACAGGTACCTGCCGATCCTAGTCCAGCCCGCCCTGTTCAGGAGTACCAGTACCTCCTTTCCCCACCCCAGCCTCTTTGTTTTTGTATCTCGATCCCCTTCCCCTTTTCTTAATTGCTTTTATTTCTTTGATGTCTGTGTTTTTTTTTATTTCCAATTCTTCAACTCCTGAATCTTTGTCTTAAGTAGATTCTACTTCCTTGATACTCATAATCGTATCTTTGCCATCTGAGACCAAAAGTCATAGCGCCAACGGCTGACGTCTCCCCCCTTGCGGAATCCCACATTTTTTTCCTTTCCTCGTGGGCATTTTCCAGAAGCATTCCCAGATCGCCTATATTCTAAATTACAATTACTCCCCCTGTTCCAAAAGTCGTTGCGACAGTCCGACTCGAAACCGTTGTTGACGCAGGCCCCTCGTTGATAGTCGCCCCGGCGATACGCACAGCCTTTATCGATATCGTGGCGTCAAGTGTTTCAAATAGTCGCTGAGTCTCGTCTTCGGACGACTCTCTGTCCCACGCGACACAACTCTTCGCCTCTTCCCACTGCTGGTCAGTGTGGTCCTAATCTCCAACTCCCACAATCATGGATCCCAATTCCGCCTTATCGCATGCGAACAACCTCCTCGCCCGCGCGGAATCCTCAGGCCGCCCACCGGTGTACAAGGCCGTCGGTATTTCGCTGGCTGTCGCATCGGGTGTCTTCATCGGTATCTCGTTCGTGGTTAAAAAAATCGGACTGCTGAAGGCGAACGTGAAGTACAATGAGGAGGCCGGTGAAGGATATGGATATCTCAAGAACTTTTGGTGGTGGACTGGCATGACGCTGATGATTGTTGGAGAGATCTGCAATTTTGTGGCGTATGCGTTTGTCGATGCGATTCTGGTCACACCTCTTGGTGCGCTGTCGGTTGTGATTACCACGATTCTGTCGGCGATTTTCCTCAAGGAACGGCTTAGTTTCGTGGGGAAGGTTGGCTGTTTCTGTTGTATCATTGGATCGGTGACTATTGCCATGAATGCTCCTGAGCAATCGTCTGTGGAGGATATTCAGGGCATGCAGCATTTTGTTCTTCAGCCTGGATTTCTGGTCTACGCTGGGTTGATTATTGTTGGAGCTGCTTTTACGGCTCTTTGGGCTGGTCCACGTTACGGAAAGTCGAGCATGTTTGTTTATATCAGTATTTGCAGCATGGTTGGTGGATTAAGTGTCGTCGCTACCCAGGGCTTGGGCTCTGCTATTCTCGCTCAGATTAATGGCGAGGAGCAGTTCAAGCATTGGTTCCTATATGTCTTGCTTGTGTTTGTCATTGGGACCCTGCTGACTGAGATTATTTATCTCAATGTACGCTCTTCACCCTCGTGTCTTATGGCTGTGCTAACCCTGCTATACAGAAAGCGCTTAATCTTTTCAATGCCGCCCTGGTCACCCCGACTTACTATGTGATGTTCACTAGCGCCACCATTATCACTTCCGCCATTCTGTTCCAAGGCTTCAAGGGTACGGGGATCCAAATTGCGACTGTCATCATTGGGTTCATGCAAATCTGCGCCGGTGTGGTGTTACTGCAGCTATCCAAGTCCGCCAAGGACGTCCCCGATGCTGCGATTTTCAAGGGCGATCTGGATCAGATTCGAGAGGTTGCCGAAGTAGAAGAACCTGAATCCGAGCCCAAGGCAGACTCCATTCGTGGTGCGGCCTCTATCATCCGTCGCATTTCGACTGCTCGTCGCACTATGGAATCAGATGAAGCCCGCCGTTTCTTCCATGACAAGCATGAGGATACCCTGAAAGTGCCAGGCGAGAACGAGATAATTGAATGGGATGGCCTGCGTCGGCGTAAGACTGTCATTGGCGAGGGGCCAACCATGTCACGGCCAATCACTCCGCGAACACCCTCAGTCAAGCAACAACATCCGCCGTGGGGCATGTCACGGTTGCCCGCTGATGAGCATGAGGACGATCACCGACCTAGCACCAAGCAAAGCAGCCATTCTTTCATGGATAACATTCGGTCTCGGGCTACCAGCGTCCTTCATCCTTCTCAGTGGAAGGCCGTGAATACAGAAGACGACAAAGGCTCTAACGTCAATACACAATCAGTGGGGATGACAGACATGCCACACCGAAGTGGCAATGCTGACACAGAATACCATGGTGCCGGTATGGCTGGTGGTTTGGAGGCTCCGTTCAACGCAAACCGTCCGCGTAGCGATACACCACGGTCTATATCATGGGCAGACGAAAAGCCCGACTCCCTGGCACCCGAACCTCTCGCCAACACTACCCGCCGTCAGTTCTCTTTCAACACCATGATGGGCCGTACAAAGGCCGACAGCGAGTCTTCCGTCAAACCTACACCAGGTTCGCCCCGTGGAATCCTACGCCGAACGCACCTGGCAGCCGATATGCGCAAGTCCGCAACTGAAGAAGAATCACTCGGTCTCGTCCATGGCGACTCACGCCATTCACAGCCGGAAGAAGAGCTCCTGAACGAAAAGCTAGACCGCTGGTCGAGCGCCGAGTCGGAACTTGGCGAGCCCCAACCCATGTTCGCAGGGCGATCACACGGCAACTCCGTGTCCAGCAACAATACCGCCGCATTCCCGGCCTACGAGGATAACCACGACGACTACTCCGAATCCAACAACCCTTACTACCTCCCGCACAACCGACAAACCACCTCATCCCCAGAACCCCTCACCCACGATGAAGACGGATGGAGACACCCTTCATCGAGGGGCAGTGGTAGCAGAACTCGCACACGGACAACCTCTTCTGTCAATGCCCATTCTCGGGCTCCACCCCCCGCCCAATCCTCCTTCTCTACCCACCGCCATCCAAACCCCCTCCCGCCACTCCCTGATATCACACCTACTACCACCCTCGATCTCATGCCCACCGCAGCCGATGCCTCGGGTCTGAGATCAGTCTCTTCAGACTCTGATATGGCAGCGACCTTCTCTAGAGAGGCAGGAGGCCACAGTGAACCCCCACTTATCTACCCGACCCGCCAACAGAGCGGCTGGCGTCGGCATCTGTCTGACAACAGCAGCCATGATGGTGAGACATATGCCACGCGCGGAGGCAGGGGGGTTCGTTCAGGTGAATGTGAGGAAGCCTCGTTATCTATCTGGCCTATACTGCCATCTTGAGATTCTGGTTTATGACGCATCGCATCTATCCTGTTTTCTTTCTCACATAGTATTTTTGCATGGCTATGGCGTTTGTTGGAGGATTTTGTTGATATTTTCCTTCTGATTTTGTGTTATGTGATTGAACCCGGTTTTATTACCGGTCTGTACATGTACATGCACATGTGATTTTTGATTTTGATTCTGTGTATAATGGATGTTATGATAATGGTGCACGACTGATTAATGAAATGAGAACTTCCAAATACAAGTGTCAAGTCGAACGTAGAGAGTACTAGAGGTCAACATCCATCATGAGTTATATCGACAGCGCCAGTGCATTGGTCAATTAAAGAAGAGAAATTCCAAAGTAGCTATTCATAGTCATGACGATCAGATTAGATTCGGTAAGATCATATAGATCATTGGGTATCATAAATGCACGTAGGTGGAAGATTCATCATTCCAACCCAAAAGGTTGACGCAAAACCACTCGATCCAGAACGCCATCCATAGCAAAATGCCATATGCAATGCAATGCAAACAAAAAAAAAAGCAAGTCGCTAAATGTAAACCATACCCATGCAAAAGAAGATCACTTCTTCACCCCCTGCACACCAAATATCCCAGCAACACTCCGCTGTCCCTGAGCCGCAACATGCATCCCAGGGAATCGGGACTCGGCAAGACGACGTCCAGCTTTGATACTCTCGAGAGCCCTAGTGGTAGCAAGTTCAATGTCAGAAAAGATCACTTACCGGTCATCCAACAGCATCATAACAGTACATACCAATCCACACTAACAACCCTCACACTTTTCCACCCTCCACGGGAAATTTCCTGCTGGAGCTTACTGGCAGCAAGGCCTCCCCCTGCCCCAGACACAGTTGTTCCACTCCCACTCCCGGTATTGGGTTGTCCGACAAGAACATGCGTCACCGTCTTCCGGGCCATGTAGATAGAAGTCCTCGCCCCGTTTGAAGCGAGTAGATGTTTGAGTTTGTACTCCGAGATCCGGGGGAGGGTAGAGCCATTAATGAAGATCGTAACACCGGCGAAGATATTCGAAGTCGATTTCAGGTCGAGGGTGGTACCAGAACGGGGGTCATGTTGGGGTTTGTCTTCTAATTGAGACTTTTCTTTTTCTTTTTCTTTTTCCGTTTCCATATCCTGTTTCGTTGGATTCCGAGCTGGACTCAAACCCCGCTCCCCTCCACCAACAGCAGTCCTAGTCTTCTTCGTCTCGACCTTTGTATCCTTCCCAGGCTCATCAACAGCCTTCCTCTTGCTAACACCCATAAACGACCGAATATCCCGAACACCGAGTTCATTCCGCTTCGCCACATCCCCGGCTACCATAGCCCATTCACCGGCGGGTATCTTAGGCGGCGATTGTGATGCACATTTTCCATTGAAGGCACCGGGAACGAGTGTCGACTCATGTGTTGCTTTGTTCCCCACCCCCAATCCCCGTCCTGGAAGACAATCCCCGTTTTGATATTGCCTGGTTAATTTCGCTGAGCGTGAATCTCGCCATGATGTCGAGCCGAGGAAACCGCCACCTTCGGTTGCGCGTTGGTGGCCTGTTGAGGCTGATTGCCAGGGGTCGAAATGGAGGTGGTTTCGTGGTTCTGGAGGTTGTGGTTTTGCGGTTGGTTTTGGTTTGTCGGTTGTCATGGTTGGGTCTTGCGGGGTTGTTGCAGGGGGTTCCCTTTCGTTATTTGAGCGATGTGTTGGTTGTGATGAGGGTGTTCGAGGATGTGGTGTTTGTTTTTTAAATCGAAATTTGGCAAGAAGTCGCCGTGGCGTGAAGCCGAAGGAACCATGGTTCAGATGTGTTTTGATTTTGCTGTTTTGGGTTAGATAGGGTAGATCGGGTTACGGGGAGGTATGTGATTAAAGTTGAAGTACTCCGTACAATGAAAGCCTTAGCTACTATGAAATCAACCTTGGCATCTCAATTTCAAAAGACATACAATCTACATTAACCTACCTTTACATCTACCAACTATAAAAAAAAAAGCAGAGTGGGAAAAGAACAATCCATTTAGACCGGACAAAACCAACGTTGTATGTCGCTAAAGGCATGCAGACCCAGAGTTCATAACCGTTCATTACCATGATAATCATCTCTCTAGTAGAGTGGCAGTAGCAAAAGCAGCGCAGAGAAGTAGAGAGGGGAGTAAAACCAAAGCCAAGGCCATGCCACAAAGAATATCCTTTTCAAAACCCAGCGCATAAATGAGAAAGCAATGAGAAAAAAGCAAAACGAAAGAAAAAAAAAAAAGCAGCTCGTTAATGAAGATGGCTCGTGGTCAAGTCATCACACAAAGAAAATTCGTTCATAAGAGATTCGTCACATCGTAGTCATCGAGGTTTGCGATCACCATCCAAGTCTTCAACCAGGGACAAGTTCTTTCAACATGGAAGTATCAAGAAATGTTTTTTCTAATGTTGGACCGTGAACAGATCTTGCGCCTAGTTCTTCCCTCTCTCCCCACACGCAACAAGTTAGATATTCTCGAAGACAGTCAAGATTTCTTCAACTTGACAACAAAAAACGCAGAGAGACAAATGAGCTTCGTTTCGTTTCGACACCGTCGGGTCTGCCAGTCTCCCGTCTCCACATGTTTGTGGTAAGACACAAGACGAGACCACGACGCGCCATGCGGGTTGTTGCATGCGCAGTCTATCATGAAAAACAAACTCCGACCGAGAAATTGAACCAACAGAAAAAAACAAACAAAAAGATTCCAGTAAAAAAAGACCAAAGATCCGAAGAGAAACCCAAAACAAGAGCCAGAACCACAAGCTGAAAGCTAACTAGAAACCACAGTTGAATCACACAATCACCGATGGCGAGCCATGACCGCGCTAGGCTTCATCGGCTGAAGAATAGGCGGGCCACCGACGGGACCACCAAGCGGACCACCAAGGGTAGCATCGGTGATGGTCTTACGGCGCTTCGAAGTCTCGTACTCAGTGGTATTCTCCGGAGGGCGGATATCGTCATCCTCGCGCATGCGCTTGCTGCCCGCACTCAACGAGCCATTCCCAGTCGCGTAGACCGGGGCCGTGGTCGAGGCCATGGAGTAAGGGTCCGAAGCACCGTTGGCTGGGGTTCCGCGCGTATCGCTGACAGCGTTGTACAGGGTAGTGGCGGCGGGAGGACGGGGGGGAGTGTTATACCCCGAAGCCCAGTGAGGAGGGGGGCCGGCGCCCGTGCGCGGGGTCATGCGACCGGAGCCGTTTTGCTGGCTCGGAGAGCTGGTCATTTCTGGGGTGAGCTGGGAGTGCTCGCCGGTCAGCGAGCTGACGGAAGGGTTTGTGGTGTAGGTATAGGAGCCGCGGTTAGAGTTGTAGCCAGCGTTGTGGTCTGGCATGTACTCCTGCTCATGCTCAGAGACGGTCTCGCCGGGTCCATTACTCTGGCTATAGCGGTTTGGGTCGCGCTCGGAGGTTTCGGGCTCTGAGGCACCGGGTCGTGGGTTTGGTGGCGCCATCTCGCTTTTCATGTATCCACCGGGCAAGGGTTGCCCGTAGCTGGACATCCCCGAATTGGTCAATGGAGTGTGGGGCGCGTATTGGGCGTGGGTTTGTGGTGCCGCGGAGTAGTAAGGCTTGGAGCTGTCGTAGGGTTGACTTTGGTAGGCTGGCAAGCCGTGCATGTTGTTGCCCGGTGGGGTGGTTGCGGGGGTCGTTGGCATTGAGCGCTGGTTGCTCAATGTGGTGTCGATGGACAAGGGTTGTGTGTGGGGCACTTGTCCACCCCATTCGTATGAGCTGCCTTGGTTGTTGACGCCCATCAGGCTAGATGCGCTGGCGGGCGGTGTGGGAAAGGTGTTGGCACGCTCGAGCCCTGGTCTCGAGCCAGGTTGGCCACTCATGGGGCCTTGGGACATGTGAGAGGACATGGGAGTCTGAAGGGAGGGGTGATGATGGTGAACCGGGGGTTGCTGAGAGCCCGACGGCGTGCGCTGGGGACCCAGAGGAGGGCCTTCCAAACGTCGGTGTTGGGACTCTTGCACTACCTGGTTGGTCCGATTCTGGTTGGCTGGGTGGTATAGCAGACCACCGATATTATGCACAAACAGTGGGTACAAGAGATCAGTGATCTTCTCCTTGTTGGCGAATTCCAGAGCGCGCTCAAATGGGATCCTGGGAGTAAAAGAGTCAACGACTGATACTGCACGTCACGTTGTGAAAGCAAAATACATACCAGACACCTTTCAAATGCATTGGGCCAATTTTCACAACATGGCGAAGCTTTTCGCTCTTGAGAATTCCATCACGTCGACCGCGGGTCATGCCAGCTACATTGAGCAGCTTTGTACCATTGATCATGTGGTTATCTGCGGAGGCGGAAAAAAAAGTCAGTCAAAAGAATATCTCCAATTAACTCTTTCCTCACGGAATGAACTGACCTTCTCGTCGAGCTACACACACTCCCTTCGCTTCCACCTGGTAGCAGAGACTCCCTTCATCTTCCCATAATGTGGCCGTCACGCGAGGCTTTGCTCCCGGAGGAGCCACTTGACCGGTACCATCAAAGACGAACCCTTGCAATGGAGCTCCGGTGTTGTTCCCGTACCCACTTGGAGGGGCGGCGTGATTGCTCACTTGATAACGATCAGAATAATCATCGACCACATTCTGGCTTTGGAGCTTACCCGGCAACGGCAGCAACTGAGCCGGCATCTGGCCACCCATTGAGCTTGGTGGGTGACCCGTTGGGGGTGAAGTGACCCCAGGGGCGTATCCATATTGGGGGTAGGCAGCCGGGGCGTAAGAAGACGCGGGCTGCATCACAGGGGGTTGTCCGTGGTACTGGTAGTGGGACATTGCGCCTGCGGTAGCGCCTTGAGGGGCGTATGACTGAGCAGAAGACATGTGCGAGTGGACGTCCATGTATGGCTGGGTCTGGTTCATGCTGCCGAGAGAAGTCGGGCTAGGATAGTACCCTTCGTTGACCGAGGGGGGAGACTGTATTCAGTCGGGGCGGAAGAATCTAAGGAAAGTCGGCCCTGGGTCCCAGACAGGTCCGTAGAGGACGGGGGACTCCTCGGTTCGTTGGCAGGGACTGAGGCACCAGAGAGACTTGTGCGGGCGCTGGAATTGGTGGAATTGGTCAGGGACGGATCGTGGTAGGCGGTCCGGGAGAGGCCCTGGGTGGCTGTCGGCAGGCTGAGAGCGGGGAGTTTGTCGCCGGGCAATAACGGTCGTTCGGCCGCGTGATGGTTGTACCAGGGGATGTCAGCAGGACCGCGGGTATGGACCTGCGAGATCGATGGCAGCTCCAGCTTTTCGGTTGCACGGGTAAACGGTTTAGAATAGAGGGAGGAAGCGAGCAGCGGACGTAAAGGTCGTCCGGCGTGCTATCAATATAGGCCGCAGAATCCTTGGGAAAAACCACAGGAATTTGCGAACGTCGCACGGGAAAAAAAAGAAAGAGAAAGAGTTGCAAACGAAATATTCAACGGGGCTTTCAGGTTCAAACGTTGAAAAAAAAAAATAGGCACAGTTGATGCAAGATGCAGGCGATGCAGGGGCATGCAATTATCGTAGTGACGCTTCGTAGTAAGTCGTAAACCTTTTGTAAAGACTCGGGCCTAAACAGAAGCGCAATAAGGACTTTTTGTCGAAGCAGACGAGTTCAGAGAAGCACAATGGTCATCAGAATCATTAACAATCGTCGAACACATCAAAGTTCGGAAGGTTGGAACTAAACAAAAACAAAATCGCGTAAGTTTTGTGGTCGTTTCAAGGTCATGCAGGAATCATGTCATTGAAGAAGAAACTCTAGAAAAAAATGGAGCGCATTTGATGATAAAATAAGGCCGAAGCCGGATGAAGGTAGGGGGGGAAAGGTCAAAGTCTCAGACAGTCGAGGGATGGGGGGGTTGAGAAAAGAAGTTAGACGTACAGAAAGGTGGAGGCTGGGGTGGTGCAGCAAACGCATCCCTATGCACTGCAGGCTGGATAGATGGCGTTTGAAAAAAGGAAAAACAAAAGTAAAAGCCAAAACAAAAGGTATCAAGTAATAATAAACCACAATTTAAAAAAAACAGGGAAACGGGCAAAAGGGCTCTTAAAATAAAAAGGAAATCGTACAGTGAAACTTAAGCAAAGCGGTTAAGAGAGGGGAAAAAGAGGTGAAGCGAAATGACGCTGAGCCGCAGCGGGAAAGTCGATCAGTGGAGGATAAGAAGAAGCTGACTAAGGGTCGTTTTAAGAGAAAGAGAAGAATATTGTCTGCAGAAATCCCGGCTTGCCCCGTCTTTTGAGGAGAGAGGAAGAGAAATAGAAAGAGCGAGAGACAGAGAGTCCATCGAATCAATCACAGTGGACCCGGTGGAGAGAAGAGAGTGAGTGAGTGACTACCAGAACCGTGCGTTCAGATCATCCTCTAGACTCGATATCTGCTGTTTTTCTTTTTCTTTTCTTTTTTTTTTGGTGTTTTTTGTTTTTTTCTTTTTTGCTTTTCTTGTTTTTTTTTACTCTTCCCTTTTTTTCTTTTTCTTTTTCTATATATTACCTTGATTTTCTTCTTTCTTTTTTTTTTTTTAGGGGGAAATATTTATAATTATTATTCTACGCCACCAAGTAAGGACCATCCGGATCAGAGTTAAGCGTCAAGGTAAATCATTTCCCTTAGTATTAACCAGCTTGATCAATAT